TTGTTAATTACAAATTGCACAACCAAAAAGAGGGCAGGGAACACTTATCGACTGAGGTGAGATTACCGAGTAGCCCTCTGAGTCTGAACCCCTTTATTACACCAAATCCTCTTTCTGCGTAAACAATGGTTTACAACCGAGAACCGTAAACAGAGAATTTAGCAGGTTTGCAATCAGGCTCTGTAATGGTTTGCCGTTGTGCAACGGCGCACACGCAGTCTTGTAAACAAGGCAAACTTCCTGAGAAAGATGAATGGCTGCGTCATTCTCACGAAATGCTGCTCTGTCCGCTGAAAGCTACCGTCAGCGAGTGATCTCATTCACAACGAGGCGGCTCAAAACGCTGGGAGGGGACTGAAAAACATTTCACCGGGCGGAGCCTCAAAAGAACCATCTAACAACAGGGGCGCGCGCAGCTCATCGGCGGGACGGTCGCCGGTGCCGGATGATGGCCTTCCTCCTCATTCGTGACCTCTTCGCTGCTGTAAGCGAGGGGTGAAGACAGGTCGTTGTGTTCCTCCAAGTAGAAAGGACCAGTCTGGGATGTTATCAGTGGATCCTGAGATAGCTGCACGGGGCCCCCGAGCGGACTCACAAAGGCCCGGCAGCCCATTCAACAGGGCAGTGTCACAAGGTCAAGGGGAAAAAAAACAACAACACTTACATAATGAGACCCCCCCCCCCCCCACACACACACACACACCCTTTCGCTCTCTATCTCTCTCTCTCTTTTTATTACACGCCCAAGGGCGACAAAAAACGAGAGGGAAGAAAGGACATCTTTGAGAATGTGGACAAAAGACCGTCTGTCTCTCCCACACGTTTACCTAAGGGAGTCGTAAGAGAGCTTAATAGCGTGTATTGACCACGGCCTCCGCTTTATCGCCTCCGACGCTTATGAACGTCTCTGCACTCCGCAATCATAAATACAAACTCGCCAAGACGTTTAACACGCCGCCCAGTGCGCTAGTTAAAGCCATCGAATTACCTCTTTCGCATCAATCAAATCCATATCTCTGACACTTTTTGGGAGCGGACCCAGCGAGAGAGTCTGCTGACCGCGTCATGACAAGACCTATTTGTTCCAGTGGTTCGGAGTGTTTGCGTTCCCCGGGTCACGGCTGAACTTCTCATATTTATGTTAGCCCAACCGGCGGCTGGCAGGCTAATTCGCTGGTATGTGTTTTCATTAGGTCTCTGGGGCCCGGTAGAGCTCCCTCACTAACGTGGCTCCTCTGAACTCTGACCCCCGGGCTTCAGTGGGAAGGCTGGCAGAGGAAGAGGGGGTCAATGCTTCGCCGTGGACTCGCTTCGACTTACGGTAACAATTTGAGGAGGCGGATAAAGGTTATGTAACCCCGTCGCCGGACGCCGATGACCCGGTGGGACCTGAGGACAGGCCACGTTTACATCAGTTGCTGTCTCCGTGGCAACAAAATTAGCTCAGTATGCTAGATAACAGCTATGGAGGCATGTGATCAGTAGCACAGAGGGACCTGTCATCCCTTCTTGTTCTTCACTCCTTCCCTTCCCTTCCCTCGAGGCAGCACGAACACTCATGTCCTCATTTAGAAACATGAAGCATTCGGGCTGGTATGATTCTCCCCCTTCTTCAGGAACGTCGTGTGGCTCAGGAGGCGAGAGTGCTGAGACGATACGCAAACCGAGCGGCGTTTGCTTCTTTGCCTCCACTGTTCACAACGACGCTTCAAACGAGGCAACGGTCTCACGTGGCCTCCTTTTCACGCCAGGCGTAAACTGGGGACAAAACCAAACCACAGCTTCCACCAGCAGTACTTTATCGTGTGTGTGTGTGTGTGTGTGGCACTGTTTGCAGGGTCAGTCACAGACCTCATCTTTCCAACGGCTTCACAGTTTCAGCATCATCCTCTAGAGCTTAGGTGACACATTTCTCATGGAGCCCAGCTCACCGCGGGCCATAAATACCGATCCCTGCTCCGCACCGCTTTGTCTTTCCGCTCTCTGCTCCCTGGATACAGAGCAGCTTGTGATGGTAACTTTTCTATTTCTGATTTCAACAAAAAAAGCAATGCAAGAAAAACAAAAAACGTGTGACCTGTGTATGATCGCCACCGTACTTTCCATTCCAAACCGCCCCAAAGTGCCACAAGTGCTGATGAGCTGTCTGATGAAATGTTTTGAATTCTTCCTTGATGACACGCAGGTCCAATGGGCCGATCAAAAACCTTCCCACAGCTTCTGCAGAAAGCTCTCGTACTCGAGGCAGCTTCACACACCTTCCCACTGAGCGGGTTAGAGCGTGAGAAAATGCCTCACCTGTAGCGCCAGATATGCAAGCACGAAAACAAATTCCAACAAAACATGCCTGACATTTTTGCTGGCATTGTGTGTGTTTTTGAGTATGAACCAGGCTTGGAGAGTTTTCTTCACCCTTTACGTTACATTTAGCAGTACGTTTGTGGGGGGATATCAAAGGGGTGAGAAGTCGAAGTTAATCAAGTCAGTAAACAGTCAACGTGTTAAGTTGCCATTTAAGTGTCTTATCAATAAGACTTTGCAATAACATTTGAACTGCCTGCCTACTTTATTAAGCTTAAGAACTGTAAGGCACAAAGTGATCCAATCAATTATAAGCGTTTAAAGAAGTTTGACCTCCTACGTGCTGACATTGTTATGATCTATGTTGTTTAATGATTACCATCACACCAATAATTGATGTCAACCTGAAAACTATTCACCTGAAACTAGTGGCAGAAGTTACTGTTAGTGATTGCGTGCCGGAACCGATAAGCTGCTGTCACTTGAACGCACCGCTTGCCAGCTGACTTGCACCTCCTCTTCAGCCCATTCATTGGCTTTCTGCTGCGCAGCGTCAGTGCGGGGGGGGGAGGAGGAGGTGGGAGGCTGCCGGAGTTTATTGTGAGGAATGTGTAGTAGCACTCAAACTAATTTACCCCACCGACTGCGCCGCACTCCCCCGCCGGGCTTCATCCTCTTGTTTCGGGGCAAACGCGCGCGCGCGCGCACTGGATTACCTCGCGGTGGTTCGACGCAAAACGACTTTTGTCATGCGCGTTTTTGCATGAAGACAAAAAAAAACCGTCTCTTTTGTGCGTCTTTACATTTGCTGGAAGAAATACTTTATTTATTTTTTCAATTCAAGCGCGACGTCCATGCCAGACCCCGCAAAGATGAGCAAGAACGGAATGGTGACGAAAATCCACACGAGGATAAGAGCCGAGCCGTTCACGGCCAACTACGAGCTGGTTGGCAAGGAGCTGGGCAGGTGAGCTGGTTTGTTTGTATTTACCTGGCGTCGTCATTGCCTTGAAAAACACCGACCCGCGTGCTCGCATTGCGCGCGTGCCGCTGCAAATTTGCTGCAGTGCGTTGATGCGTAAAGCTGCAATCATGTTAGATTCACGCTGCGCGCGCGTACGTGGGCAGCGCTTTAGTTTTGGACAATCCCGCAACCCTTCCCCGTTAGGAGCCCAGAAGGTGACGCGCTTTGGCACGCGCAATGGTAAAGTTTGGAAATGCTTCATGTAAAGCTGTTGTTTCCTTCGATGCCCACTTAAGTGTGTAGTAGAAGGTTTTTTTCAGCTGCATGTGGTGGTTAAAATGTTAACTTCCTCAAAGGCCACGAGCTGAAATTCAGAATCCGTTTGGGGTCACAGCTGAGGGAACACTGTTTGGTGGGAATCCAAGCCTGAGTCTCTTGTCTCGTACCATTTCCCTTTACTGGTCTCATTAGACAAAAGCATGTTGTGGGTCGCTCGCTGATGTGTGGGTCGCAGTAACTGCAGTGGACGTGTATTGGAGTGTGGATTCCATAATGTCTAACCTCCCATAACTCTTCATTTTTATAATGCAAGTCTGCTGCTCTGCAGGGAGTGGTGGGACAGCAAAGGGCCAGTTGAAAGACGCCACTCCCCCCCCCCGTCAGACACCATCGGACATCCTGGGACAACAGCCAAGCCCTCTGGAGGAGGGAGGGTTGGCTTGAGGCTCTCAGCCTCCAAATGCCCCCTCTTCCTCCTCTCACCCTCCATCCTCCTCTTCCCATGAGCCCGACCCAACAACATCCTGGGATCAGGTCTCCTAATCGCATTAGGTGCAGGAATGTGTGCCGGAAGATCAGTCTGTACATTAGGAGGGCTGTTGACCACGTTGCCGGCACGCGGGTGACGGAGCTGAATCCTTTTCTTCAGCAGTTCACCAACTCATTGGTCCCGCATTCCCAAAACCTTTCATCATCAGCATAATCATCATCATCATCATCATGCTGTGGTTAATTCACTTGTGGTCCCCTCCAGAGCTAGGGCTCAAAAACACGGTGTGACCAACTGAAAAGCGGAAAGAGGAAGTAACGTTGTGTGTTCAAACGAGAGCAGTGGGGGCCGTCACTTCTCATCGCACTTCAGACACGAGAGGCCTGCTGAGTGAGACGAAACGCAGACTCTGCAGGAAACCGGCTCCTCGATCAAATTATCACCATCTCCGGCGGGGGGGGCGAGGAGTTTGTTTAATGTGCCGCAGTAAAGTTGATGATTGAGGACCGACTGGTTTTAGGCAGAATTTACTGAGGGCCACTCTAGAAATGAGCTGTTTGATTCTGATGTGGAGTCACACAGGATGTTTGTCAGAGTGGTTTTTCTATTGTGACACAGCTGTGTGATTTAATGCAACAAAAAAAACATGAAGCGCTGGGATGTTGTGTGGTGTAACCAGGAGGTTCAGTCTGCCTAGTGACACAGCAGTGTGAACGCAGCCGGCTGGAAGATGGCCTCGTCCTCTGACCTTTGACCCGTTGTTAGCCATTGAAACGGCCCCCCGCTGGTCCCTTTTCACGGCCGGCCATCGTTCCTTTTCACTCCATGTGTAGTTCCCAGCCCACGGAGAGCTGCTCTGAACTTGGCTAATTATGGCTGAAAAGCCTCTGACGGGTTTTGCCTTTTCCCTCTGAACAATGAGTCGTCGCCATTCTGCCAGAATGTGGCGGGTGGGGGGGTTTGGGTGGAGAGAAGGAACAGTCCCCCACAGCGGCCCGGGCGGTAGCCAAAAACGGAACCAGACTGGTTCCGACGGGTTGCTGATTGGTCGTGGGCTTGGAGCATCATGCTTGGCGGGAAAATGACTGGCGCCATGCTGACGGGCCGCTTCATTGACATTCAGTCCACAGTCGTCTTTTCAGCAGCCCGATGAAACGCTAGAATGTTCGTCGGGAGTGGAAGCCGAGGTTTTTCCACAGTCTCCATTTTATCCCGACTGCTGCAGCGGTGACCCCCCTCCACCCCCCACACCCACCCAGCGGTCTGGTGGGTGGTCCCGGTCTCGGGGCTGCTGTATAAAGGCCGACTGGTCAGCTTTTGTGCGCTTGTCAAAGGAGAAGCAGGCTCAGGCCGCGGGTCCGGGGCGGAGGTGTCAACACAGTCCCATTTGTCCCCGCTGCTGTCAGCTGTGAAGAAAGGGGAAGTGGACAAGGCCTCATTATCACCCTGGCAGGGGACGGCTGCTGATTGTGGTCCGCTCGACACGGCGAGGCAATTCTACACGCATCGGACATCCTGCCCACACCCACGGCTGACCTCTTTGCGCCGACGATGAATCCATCAATGTACATGCATGGAAGAAAAAAAAAAAAACTTGGTGGTTATTACTTTGTTAAGGTTAATGGTATTTTTCGTTTTTTACAAATAACGTCACACTCGGTAACCGAGCCGTTGTTATTTCTCGGATTTCTTTGCTGGTCGGCAGGCTTATCTGCCTCCCGTCAGACCCTCCCGAGTGCATCTAATGACGCACCCGAGCTCCTTAGCACAAATTCAAATGATGCCAGTGGACCTTCTTATCTGCAAACTGTTCTTTGACCTCGCCTACAGCGTTGCACTCGTGGCCGCCGGCTGGCGGGCTTTTCCTCCATGCCTCGCACTGTAATCTGGGTTTTCGCCTCATGGCAGTTTAACTGTCGTGAGTCGGTCCAGTAATTTCAGCCTTTCATACGCTACAAAGAGCGGAATCTCTAAAACCACATATATGTGAAAAAGCCAGTAATGTGGTTCTGATTCTTATTCTGCCTCTCGACTCACCCCCTCTCCTCCTCCTCCTTTTTTTTTTTTTTCTTCCAGGGGAAAGTTTGCGGTGGTAAAAAAGTGCATCGAGAAGGCAACCGGGAAGCAGTGCGCCGCGAAGTTCCTCCGAAAGCGACGGAAGGGCGCGGACTGCCGCAAGGATATCTTAAACGAGATCGCCGTGCTGGAGTCGGCCAAAGCAAACCCCTACGTGGTGGCCCTGTACGAGGTCTACGAAACCACCGCCGAAATCATCCTCGTTCTGGAGTGGTAAGGCGACACTTGACGTTGCGCATCCAACGCAAAAGGTTCACTGAAATCCTCGACGAGTTCCTGACCCCGTGCACTAAAATGTGCACTTTTTGTAGGACACCAAATTTGCTTATAGAAAACTCAACATATTTATGCAACATCCCTGCACGTTGCATGGCGGTAATGTCAGTGCTTTTGTGTTTTCATGTGAATTGTCAGAGTTGTATGTTTTCTGTGTCATGTGCTGGTGGCTGAGGGCACAGCTGCAACTCACTCAAGTCTTCCTCACCTCCAAAGACAAAAACAAAACACCCCACATACACACACACACACACACACACACACCCGCGTGTGTGTGAAATGCACAGCTCTCGGCCTTAAATGGAAATTTCTCTCTCTCTCTGTGGTTAGCTGCTCGTCTCGCTGTGACCTCAGCGCCTCGGTTTCTTTTTCTGCCAACTGGCTGTCAAGAACTGTCACCTTAAATACCACTGTGGCAGAAGTGCTCCGTGTGAAAACTAGCATTCATGTCACGCTTCAAACTGTCCCCCCCCACAACCGTTCTGTGAGAACGCGCTGCTGCGTACTGCATAGACCCGATGCGCAGGTGGAGTTCGGCGATCCGGTCGGAGTTGGCGTCTGGTCTGTCGTGGCTCGCTGTTAAACTGACACCATCCGCGTCCAGTAAGTGCTGTCTGACCGCTGACAGCCTCTAATTAGCATCTTAAGGACATTACCTCGCCTCATTACAGGCAGATAACGCGGGGCAATTACGCTCCAGCCACGTCGCCCCCCCCCCCCCCCACACACACACACGCACACACGCACACACGTCCAACCCAGTTCCCGACCTGCTCGCTGCTCATTCCTCCTCCCGTACCCAGTTCTCCGTAGTCATCCCAATCCCAGACATGGAATGCCTCCTCTCTCTGTGGGGGCGGGTGGTATGTTTGACCTGAAGTGTGAAAGGGGAAGTAGCACTACGGTTCATGCTTGCAGAGAAAACGCTGCAGGAGGTCAGTTCCCTCTCTGGGTTCCTAGAGCGGAGCTGCTCGCTCTGAGCGCAAGTTCGAACAGTCGCACATGCGCAGTGTTTTATAACGTAAAGAGCTACGTTTTTTTTTTTTCTTTCGAATGCCAGGTCGTGCTTTTTATTTCCTTTTTTTATCTCAAATGCTGCGGTGACACTGGCAGCGAGACCCTTGGCCACCAGAAAGCTGCAGCTTCAAACCGTCTGACCTCGTTTGCAAAAAAATGCAAATCATTTTCCATTTCTCGTCGGTTGCAGCATGCAAGGCTCCCTAAAGTAGCACACGCCACAACTGGGGTATAAAGTGTCAATTTTACACAGACTCTTCGTGTTGCTGAAACCACAGAAGCTGAATGTTGAATTGGAATCATGTCACAGAGCTGCAGCGTGCGCCGGTGCCAGAGAAAACCGCAGCGTAATGACTAGTTTGCTTTGATGAAAAATTAAGGTGCATTACTTTTTCTTTTCTTTTTTTGTATAGTAACTGCTTTTCTGGAGCATCCCGTCCCTGTGCCACTGATCCAGGAAGCACAGTCTTTAATATCCTGCTGTTAAGTGTAATGTTAAAGTGATTCAGCCTATCAACCTCTACTTCAGAACTAAAAAGGAGGTTGATGGTTTGCTGCTTTTCAAACACCTAATATGTTCCCAGCTCAAAGGGTCAATTAGCTCCTCCGTGTCCTCGCTCATGTTGGCGCGTGTGTGTGTGTGTGTGTGTGTGTGTGTGTGTGTGTGTACATTAACTCTCTTGGAGGTCAGATACAGTATTCAGAGACTTCAGGGGAAGTATCGGATAATGTGCTTGGCCAGAATGTCTGTTGAATTTAAACAAGGTGGCCTTTATCAAGATAAAAAAAAACTCTCAGGGCACTCTGATGACAGCTCAATGAAGCTTTTAAAACACTTTGTCCTTACAAGCAATTCATTGTTCAGACAGGTTGGGTAATAGTACAATGTTCAGTTGACAGATTCAAGTTCAGGTTTAATATAACACCACGATATCACAGTTTCCTCATTTCCTCTCCCCAATGAAAACCCTGCCCGGCTCGCACTTAATTTACACATGTGGATGAAAAAAGGAAAATGATCAGGAGCAATAATGCGTGTTATCCTCACAACCCCCAGACACACACACACTCACACAGACCCACAAAAACACGGGGGCTATTTTCACAGCTGAGGATCGTAGTAGAGGAGGGCTGGTTATGTAACATTCGTGCCCAGGGCTCTGCTGACAAAAATGCCCTCTGATAAGAAGATAAGAAGCATGTGTGGCATCTAAATCCTCCACACATGGTCCCAGTTTCTGAGGATGAAGTGTCTGCTTCAGGCATCGATCTGACTGACGGAGCACCCACCGTAAATCCACCAGGGCTCCCCCTCACTTCACTTTGCTACACAAGCGGAGCAAGACCAGACAGCACTATTTCTTTCCACAAAAATGTGAAGTTCCCATTAAGTTGCTTGATTTTACCAATCCATTTAATCCCTTTCATGCAGTTTGTGTTGAAGAAATGAGTGAAAATCGATGCAGGCTGAGACGCACACGGTTTCCCACCTGACCCGACTACTCTGCCGCCTGCTGTGGCTAATTTATGGCTTTAAATCCCATTCTACTTTAAAGTAAATGTTTTGTGTAGTTACCCAGTGTTTTGCCTCTGTTTCCCCCCCTGGTTGGATTTATTGAGTCAACCCGCAGCATATCAGGCCGTACAGGCTTGTCTGCATCAGCTTACAGCTGATATGATCGTTCTTATCTCCAGTAGCATTCCTGCTAATGGAGAGCTACATGTTGGAATTATAAAAGTATATTGACTCAGATTGGACTCTCATGCAATGCGTGGATGTGGATGGACTTTGTTCCTCCCGGCCAAAGTACACTAATGGGGAGACGTGGTGTTGCGTGACTTTAAAGAAACTGGAAACTACCTTGGGTTTATTTCATAAGATTGCACCAATGGGACAAGTTGGAATTTGCTATTGTGATCTGGTGTGACTCAAGCTGAGAGGAAGGGTGTGCAGTTTTAAGGTGCAATTTATTATAACAAGTGAACGTGAATAATCCAAAATGGAAGCCAGCCAAACCCTCCCCTCACCCCCTCCCACCTCTCCTTGATTTGTTTTCTCAGTTTTCCTTCCTTTGCTCTCCTTCCAGCGCTGCCGGTGGCGAAATCTTCAACCAATGTGTTGCCGATAACGACGAGGCCTTCACTGAGAAAGATGTGATCCGGCTGGCCAAGCAGATCCTGACGGGAGTGGCCTTCCTGCATCGGAACAACGTGGTGCATCTGGATCTGAAGGTGAGTCCGCGCGTCTATTCCCCCCCGAGTGGCGGCCTAATGGAGATGTGACGCCGCCACAACTCATTCCCTGTGGCGACGCCTCGTTCCCACGAGGAATCGGCCGATTTTAAAGGAGCCCTGCGAATGAGCCGTCGTGTTTTCTCTAATGGCCCTCTGGGGTCCCGAGCCAGTCCAGTGGTCCCGCCTGCTCGCCGTGTCGTCTGATTGGCTTAGAGGATGATCCCGGCGGAGCAGCTAGACGCTGACTGATGAACCACAGTTACCTGGACAGCCTTGACTCATTGGCAGTGCTGTGTTATTAATGAACTCATTATGCTCCCCTCCTCCAGCCCCAGAACATCCTGCTGACCAGTGCCAGACCTCTGGGGGACATTCGCATTGTGGACTTTGGCTTGTCCAGAAGCATGGACAACATGACAGAGGTCAGGGAGATCCTGGGTACCCCCGAGTACGTTGGTGAGTCCCGCTTTCAGGCCTCCTATACCCACAATCCCCCTTTCGACGCGAGTGGCATTCGTCAAGACTAATCGGGGCCATGTGTTTCTCTTGCAGCACCAGAGATCCTGAACTATGAACCCATTAGCACTGCGACAGACATGTGGTGAGTGCGCCAGCGTCTCTAATGTGACTATTTCCACTAATTTAGACCACTTTGTTCTGTTTCACATCTGAGCGAAAAAAAGACTTATTACAGACGTTGATGTCATAGGTCTAGACCTTCTGACCACAAGATCATCTTTCCTCCGACGCAGTTAATTCATGACTGACCGCGGCAGCGGAAGACAGACTAATGTGTCCCAAAAGATGTTGCGTAACCGCCGACATGACAAACCGCCTCATAGCTTCCTTCCCTTTGTGCCGCCCCATCTGCCAGGAGCATCGGGGTCCTGACCTACGTCATGCTGACGGGCGAGTCTCCCTTCCTGGGTGACGGGAAGCAGGAGACATTCCTCAACATCTCCCAAATCAACGTGGACTACTCGCCGGACACGTTCGAGGGGATCTCCTCCCTGGCCGTCGACTTCATCAGTACCTTGTTGGTTAAAAACCCGAGGTGAGCCAGTTCCCTGCGACGGTGAAGATAAGATCGGCAGTGTTCTCATTCGGGCTAAAACCCTCAAAGTTTCCGTGAGCATCGCTTTCAGCTGATTTTCTCACCGAGGGCGCTCACACCGGCACGGAAGCACATCCGCGTGCGTGTAAATGAGTGCATGTGGTAACGAGATTAGCGTCACTTCGGCGAATCGCTGTTTCCTGTTTGGCTTTAGGTAGCTGTTAACTCACCTCATTTAGAAAAAATGGTTTGATGTCACAATGTTTTGTGTGTCGACGTGTTCACGAAAGTTGAAATGAGGAGATTTTTCGTGGGAACCTTTGCAAGCAAATTTCCCAATAACTCCGCTCTAAACCTAATTTGTTATTGAGGTTTCGTACCCATTGACGCCACACATTTGTTGTGAGAGAGGCGGCTGCTACTTTTTATCATCTAGAGCCAGACTCGTCTACTTCAATAGTTTACTGGTGCCCTTGGGGGAAAAAGTGAAAGATTCCTCAGCGCTCGAGTAACCGTGGGAGACTGAGGGCAAAAAAGTATTTTTTCTCTGTCTTGTGGTTTTCCAAGCTGAATGTTCAAAGGGAATATGGCTGATTTGAGTGAATCGGTAGAGGCCGGCCAGTCCGTCGGCCATGTGAACTCTGACTCACCGGCGGTGTTCTTGCATTTGTGTGCGCAGGGAGAGAGCCACGGCAGACGAGTGCCTCGACCACCCCTGGCTGAACTCGCTCGCCCACCCGCACCCGCACACCCGGTCGGGCTCCGCCGCGGACGAGCCGGAGGCGAGCCAGTCTGAGTCGGAGCCCGAGAGCCCGGCTCCCTGCCCCGAGCTGGACCCGATCGGCTCGTACCTGGCGCGCCCCGGCCAGGGCGGGCTGAAGGCGGGCCGCGGCGCCTTCTCCTTCAGCGAGCCGCCCTTCCCCACGCGGCCTGAGATAAAGCAGGAGCTGATCTGCTGAACGGCGTTTTCGGCAGGCGGTTGGGGGGGTGGGGGGAAGAGAGACTGGAGCGGAGGCGAGGCGCCGCGGAGCCGACGCCGGAGAGCCGGAGAGGCCGCAGCTCCCTGGTCTCCCGTCTGACACACGGGCCATTGCCGTAGGGACGCTGTACGCCCGCTGCCGGCGGCTTCAACTGCTGTCATGTGTCTGCGAGCCAGGGGGGGGGGGGGTCTGGGGGAGGGGTCTCTTTTTGTGTGTGTGTGTGTGTGTAGTCTCGGCCCTCTGCACGTGCTTTTGAATTAATACCCGCTTACCCGTGCTGATTTAGGATTGTACGGGAGCGATGCGAGAGGAGAAGGGATGCGGGAGGAAAGAGGCGAGGAGTTTGTCGCGGGACCGCAATGCTGCCTTTAAAAGTGTCAGCGCCGTGCTTGACGCTGGCTAGATCCCCCCCCCGGTCCCCTGCACGCACACTGGTTTCTTCTTTCTATCCTGTTCAGCGAGAAGGCCGCCTCGGGTGATGACTTCACTCACTGTGCGCTCGCATCAAAACACATCCTCGACCGACATCCAGACCTTCCGTGATGAGTTTGGTTAGAAGATTTAAAGGGTTTTAACACATGGTTGTGCTTAGCTAGAGAATTAAAGCAAAGGACCACTCCACTTTTTTATGTTTATTTATGAGTGTTTTTTTTTTTTCATACCACTTCACCCCCCAAAAGACACAAAGCCACATCAATCAAATGGTAGCATTCTTTTTTTTTTTTTAATTTTTGAAGACAATCTGAAGCACTTTTTATTTTCCTATTGGACATTTATAGTAAAAACAAAGGCTCTTCAAGCACAGTCGGCACAATGAACTGTACATGTTAACCATTTCCCACAATCTGTCTTTCACATTATCTTTATTCACAGTGCCACTGTTTTTTTTTTTTCTCAACCTCACTGTTAATATTGAAGTTTTGTATTGCTTTGTTTGCCATTGCACAAGTTGCACAAGTTTTTTTTGTACTTAACTGCAAGGTTGCCACAAGATTATAGGGCTTAAAATATTGTGAAAACATCTGTTTTGGAAAGGAGGCCGTGGTTGAATTTGTGGTTGACTGCAGATTTGTATAAATATGTGATGTTTGCCTTCAAATGCTCGGGAGCAGAGAAATTGGAAAAAATTTCTCAAACAAGTACTGAAATGTATATTGTGAGTTAGTATTATTATTATTATTATTGGTAAAATAATAGTTTTTGTTTACGTCTTTAAATATGAATCATTATATCATTTTGTACGTTAACTTTAACTTTTCCCTGTATTCAGGCCGGTTTGCACTTGTCCCTCTGGGCGCTTTGTCAAAATGAATAAATGTTGATGGCATGTATAACAAAATGTAACATACAAATACAGATTCATTTTGCATCAAAATGTTATGTCTTTTTTTGTCACAGGACATTTAACAATACTGCACTGCTTATTTCAAATCAATTAACACAGCTCAATATTTTCAGATTTCAAGGGATTTGTTACAATCAAACGACAACAAATTCTATATTTGTAAAACAAAACAAACTGATCGATTATCCACTTTTGTCATGGCTTTAGGGAAGAGTGTCAGTCGGTACTAAAATAATCTCAACGGCTCATGGATGGATCGCCATGACCTCCATGTTTCCCAGATGATGACTTTTCTTCTAGTCCCTCAAAGAATGTGGGAAACATTGGACATCCGCATCAGATTTTTCTAGTCAAAGTAAACTACAACATACGCGTTACGCCGGCTTATCGTCATGTTGGCATGCAGGTGTCAGCAGGTCTCTGCCTGATAACGCTTTCAAAGCTGCTAGCTAGCATGGTGCTTGGAATAGTTTAGTCGTGTCTACGAGTGGAATGCAGCAAAATCCTTTTTTAGATGACAAAAATGTGAATTCCAGAGAAAGGATTCGCTGCCATTATGTTTCCATGCAGGTTTTTTACAAACTATCTTATTGAGGACAATTAATACTTGATACAACTAATCATTTTATGCATCTGTTGCATCATCCCAGCACATGTCCAAGTCTCCCTGTTTGCTGCATAGTTAACCTGAGTACCTCGTCGGGGGGAAAAAGCAGATCACCCAAACAGATTACCCACGTGTGGACCAGATGACACACGAGGCATCTGCTTTTCCTCTCAGCACGTCTATTTAGAGAAAGCGAGTATCCTAAAGAAAATAAAAGTCCTTCTTTGCGGCCGGTCCTCCATAAATATCCAAAAGGCTCTCTGAGCAGGAAATGCCAGCATCCTGGGACGAGGAACACAAGAGTAATGCTTTCCACGAATGAAGTCTCTCTCCCTCTCGTGCACACACTAACGCGTGTTTACTCCGGTCAGGTTAAACAACATCCCTGCCCTCCAATATCCCGAATTCTTGCTTTAATGCGCTCTTCCTCTTGCGGTCGGCTCTGAGCCAGGTCAGCTCTGATGTGGCCAACGAGGAGAAGGTGGCTCCTGGACCCACTGCTTCCCTCAGAGAAAATCCTGCCGCCGCGTGGAGCCGAGGAATGCCAGAAATGTTCACTACTCGCCTCCTTTCCTTTTTCCTTCATTTGCGCCTCTCTTCCCTTCTCGTGGGGTTTGTTTTCTCAGTGGGAAGGTGGCATCGTTGTGTGTTATGTGAAGATCGGAGGTGGCTGATTTAAAGTGCCAGGCTTTGATATTTAAAGTGAGCATAAGAGGATGACTTAAGGAGACATGGGGCAGTTGGGCTTGGAGAAGAGCACTTGGCTCCTACTGATCCAAACAAATGCAAAGGGGGTTAAAATAAAGGTTAATGTGACATCCAGATAACCTGCAGTTAACGGTCTCTGTGGAATTAAAGTAAGGTTTGTCTCAATGTTTTCTGAGGGTTATTGAGCATCAGATCCTGCTTTTTAAACAATGATCTGTAATATCCATTTGTCTCTCTCGAGTCTGTGTAACAACATTCAAAATAGATTACATTCATTAAACAAATACTGTCCTTTCTCCCACTGTACAAAACCTGAATGTCTGACGTCCGCTGGGCAGTCAGATGCTATTAGCCGCATTCGAGCCTCTACAGGTCAAAACCATCAGTTTCATGACCACAGATTGTTTGACGGCACCTGAACCGGCGCCCATTCGTCTTTTTAACCAACTCGTTGTGAAACTAGATTGGAAGCAGAGCTGCTTTCCGCCCGTCTTTTTTCTTCTGGGGCCCAACCGGCTCCCTGCTTCCATCACTGGACGTGGGTGAAGTCCCCCTGGCTCCCTTCCCTCCCCCCTCCCGTCCCCCTGAACCTCCCGCTGCGCTCGTCCCTCCCTGTCAAGTCGCTCTCAATCTGACAATCTCGAGATCTGTTTCGGCGCACCGGTTTAGTCAGAAGTAGTTCCCCTCTCGCACCTTTCCACCACGGGGAAATTCCTTCGCGCTCAGGTTACTGATTACACTGTGGAGAGAACGTTGATGCCAGAGAACTCGAGAGGGAGAGTGTGTCATTGTGTGTGTACTCTAACCTTTTTATTGCGGCCGCAATGATCTCGCTGACACAATATATTACACACACTTCCGGTAAAACGTACTTTTCATCTCACCCCTCTGGGTTTCTGCTCAGATGAAATCCTCTCAGTCATTCCAGTGTTGACCTTTTAAGATCTTTAAGATCACACAAAATGTCAGCAATGAGAGCTTCAGCCCTCTTGATGCTGATGGAAATCACTGCTTTGTCTGACGGATGCTGTTTGGACAGGACGCTTAACAGCATCCGTCAGTCCCACAATGCTTGTGTCGATGGTAAAAGCGAGCCAGACAAATCAAAGGCGCTGCTTGGAGATTTATTTCTCTTTCACGTGCAGTGCTTGCAGGAGGAAAAACAGAAAGAGAGAGAGAGGCAGAAAATGTCCCAAAACACTCTGGTAATGTTTCTCATGGTGGTGCGTCCGTAGCAGCGAGGGGGGAGGGGGGGGGGGGGGACGCATGCCTTTGGCTAAGCGCCGCTATTTATTCTGTCCTTGGAAACGGTTGAAGAACAACAACAGCTTTCTGAACAAAGAGCAGCACGACCTGATGCCGCTGTCTGTTTTCCTCTGTCTGCGGTGGCTACATCCTCCCTCGATGTGGGGGCACACACACACACACACACACACACACACACAGACACATATCGCAGGCCAAAAGAGCCACACAATAAGCACACTGAGCTCACAGAACTTTTCAACTCGAAAGCTGTGTAAAGGAACCCAAACAAAACAAGGGATGCTGCTCAAGTTGATCCTTGAAAGGTTCAATTTCAATTTCAATTGCGGCCGAGCTTGTGGAGAGAAACAAAAACACAGCCAGTTGTGTTTGGATTTGCAGGACGCGGTGCACACGATCGCACACTCACATGTGCTCAAATTGGAGTTTACACACACACACTCGCCAGAGTACCCACGGTGAACTCTGTCCGCTCACTGGTTACAGTCTTGGAACAGAGTTCCAGGTTTTGTTTCTGCCCACAGCGCTTGTTTACTATGGCTGCGGATTAGGGAGTTATTTGGGGTACGTAACACACACACACACACACACACACACACACACACACACACACACACACACACACAGGCAATTACATCCATTCAAGATGCATACAGGTGCTTTAGGGATGAGTTTCCTCTTTCTCTTATGGCGCTCTCCATCCCTGTGTGTTTGTGCTGTTGCAAGTTCAAAGATGAATTATCGTACAATAAAAAGGAAAATAAAGTTGTTGATGGAGGTACGGCTGTGTGATGAGTATGCTCTCATTAGCGCTTGGTGGTCTAGTTTTCTTTTTTGTTTTTGCGACCTACGCATACATTTCCACTATCTGTAACTCTTGATGTCATTTTTTCATTGTCTGGACATTGAAGTGTACATATTAGCCACGCATTTACAATCCTGCTCATTGCAAATACAGTGAGTGACATTCCCAAATTACACCCTAAAAAGTAGAAGCTGCAGTTCAAAACTTTCCCTTTCTAAATATTATTTGATGAAAGGAGAAAATTCAGAGCACTAAAATGGCCTCAATGGTCAAACAAACAAGTGACATCAGGCGAGATCCAAACTATGTGAGGAAACATTTAAAAACGAAGGAACGTATCAAATATAAAGTAATATATTTCTGGTGAAATCAACCACCAGCAGTTCTATTTAAGGATTATTTTATTGGGTTTATTTTGGCCGCGCTGACTGCTTCTTGTTGATTTATTGGAACTATGAGCTCTGTCAGAATGATGGCAGAGGAAAGAAAACACGTCCTTTTCAGTAGAATTTGCTTCCAGGAATCTTTCCAGGTTTCTTGGGGCGCTGTGACATCTTTATCTCTTTTGTATTTATTTCCATCTGACTTCTTCTTTTCCCTTTCAGTTCCCTGCACAGTAGTTCAGATTCGTGGAAATGTTTGCGTGTCTCTATCTACCTTCATCTATTGTCTGAAGCTTCTTGATGTAATCGGCCAAATCGGAGTGTGAAAAAGTGCCAGGAAACAATAGCTGGGGGGTCAGACAGGTCGCGGAGAACTGCTGAACTGAACGACAGTTTAATCCGGAGATTTGGTAATATGATCCCAGTGGCGAAGAAAGGTCCGGGACCTGTGCTTCCAATCTCCCAGGTTCACCTGAGCCGCCCATTAGCCGAATGGACCTGCTTGTCAGTCACGTCTGCTCCAAGAAGTTCACCGGATGTGGGTCAAAACATAGAACATGGAAGTATCATTGAGGACGGATTGAGTCACATTGGTTCCATAAACAACATATGCCTGTGTGTGTATGTGTGTGTGTGTGTGTGTGTGTGTGTGTGTATATACAACACTGGGTTCATTGTGGAAAGACATGATGGGAAAAGTGTTCAAGTGAAGTTGATATTCTTGTTAATGCTTCCAGGTTATAGTCATGATCATTGTGTGATATCAACACATCCATTTATTCCAGTTTGTTCTGAGCTCGGACCGTATGTCACACTATGGTAAAGATCGCTTGCATAACAGGAGTCCTTTGCCACAAGATGTGAATTGTTATAAAAAAGAATGATAATTTGTGTATGTGGAAATCTGACATTTTTGCAGTTTGAATGCGAGTGTGGGTGAAAAACAGAAGAGAACCTCAATATTATTCCACAGCGGCAGAATGCTCCACACCTTAAAGAGGTGGAACCAATCCTCACAGGTCCACCAGAGAAATGTTTTTCCCGCACAGCAAATCTTGATTTCATGCCCATCGATGAAAAGGTACGATGGTTTGTGTTCTTCAGGCTGCAGAGGCTTAGACGTGCAGACAATAACGTATGTTTTTGTTCTTCATAGAAACATATTTCCGTTTCTAACAACAGAAACATCCCAAGCCCGGGTTTTTCTTTTTTTTTTACTGAAGCCGAGGCCCCCAGAAGAGCTGCAAAAGCACCTCCGTTATCCCAGAGAACAAAATCCCCTTCAGCATCACGAGAAACACAACATTCCTGGGGAAAGGTTTTCTGCCAAGCTAAAGTGCACTTCATGTTTGCCTTAGATAAAAGACTCTCATTGGGGTTCACGCTTTGAAACTGCTGAGTAAAAGTCCCGGTAAGTGTAAACACGAGAGGACTTCCCGGGCTGTTATGAAAGCTTGATTCCCCCCCCCCCATTTACACACGCAGGGAAATATAAATAGGGAAATTAAACGAGCTGGTCCCAAAAAAGGATGTTGGATAAATAAAGAGCTCTGTTATGACTTTGGGCTGTTGTGACTAATAGCCGACAACCCGCTTGAAAAAATATGCTGAACAGAGAACATGATGTTCTTCATCGCAGGATCCAAAGGTTTGAATAGTGAGGTCTTCCAAAGTGCAATCAGAGAAGCCTTCTCTCGTGTGTCCCGCTCATAGAAACACTCACAGTGGCGCTAGTAGCAAGTAAGTAAGTTTACTCAAATGTGCTGGAGTATATTTAACGGTGCTTTACATTTATTGCCATGTTTACACACATGCTTGATTAAAGAAAAGACACATTTGCCACTGTATTTTGAGTGGCATTATATTTGATGACTTTACAGTGCAGATTCCTAATACAGAATGTGGTCAATAAATAAATGATGTATTAAAGAAGGTTAAGATAATACTACAGAATAAAAAGTAGCTCTACCTTTATCAGCTGCAACACAGTGATCACTTCATTTAATTACAATCGATAGAGATAATATACATACTTTGATGGCATTAGATTGTACGTTTACTTACTATGGAGTATTTCTGCTCCGTGGCATTGGCCAGAGTACTTCTTTCTTTTACAACCACTCAATTTACATCTGTAAAAATGGTTTCAAGCCAAAGGTTTCCTGCTGGTTTTGACATGAATGAGAAAGTCAAACCCTTTCAACACGGGTGGGGACACAAGTGGATACTTGTGTTTGGACTCACATGATTGCCTGTAGACGGCTAGACTGAACAAATCCAGTCGATAAAACAATGATAAGCGATACGCAACAGAAATGGCCCATTGTGCACTAAATACATAGCTATAAATCTACTTACAAGGGCCCTGATGGGTAATTTCCTTTTCGTCTGCCAAATAAATGGCAGGGATCTTATTTTAAAGCACAAACTTCAGCAGGTACTCAAGATATATTTATCAGGCAGAGACCACGGTAGGAGCTTTAAACCAACTTCTATAAGACTCTGTTCCCCTGGCTGCACAGAACCTGTTCAATAGCACCACCAAGAGGAGTGATGAAATCCTGCAGCCCCCGAAGGCACCACGTGCAGAGACGTGGGTCGAAAGTCCATCGTGGGGACACTATTTTTCAATCTTCAGAGGGAAACACTTGTAACTGCATTACATGTATCCAGCAAGGAAGAAAAATAGTGTAATTGCGCACACAAACACAGCAAAAAAATAAAACCCAAACTACAACTTAATCAAGTGCTTTCCAATTTATTGACAGATGCACAAGTACTGCGAGTGGGAAATCAATTGAGGATTTGGTTATTTCATCTTGTCTGCTGGATGCTGTTCTTACTCCTTTAAGTGCTTCGATGACATTTCAAACTTTATCACAGGGGGAAAAAAAAAAAAAACTCAGACCACCGTTGCCACAGAATGTCCTCCTATCGATCCGCCGCCATCGTCACAGTGTGGGTTGATGCAAAGGACACATGGCATGGCACAGGCGCGTTTACGTTGGCGTGCTACGTGGGATTAAACATTGGTTCCTCTTTCAAGCAGTGACTGAGATCCTGCTGTACGTTTAGTTGAACATTCCCTTTGGACCTTTTATAGCTCTGTGGGTCAGGTCAGTGCACGGCGTCAGACCTCCACCTCATCAAGCACGTCAGACGCTTTGTGCAGGACGACGCCAAAGCGGCGCCAGAGAAAGACGTCGTCGGTACAACAATGACAGAAGGGGCCGACGTAAACACCAAAGTGAAGGACACTCCCATCACTTGACTGTGAATCAGCGTCAAACGTAACCAGCCTCTTGCATGAAGCACCACGTGATTGCACGTGGTGCACAGAATTTTATTATTTGCATAAATAATAATCTAAATAAAACACTGGAAAAACTAAAATGACTTCACTAAGACAACACGGATTACAGTTAATGCTATTTCTCAGAGGAATGATTGAGGATTTATTTGTGAGTAGGTGGCAAACAAAAGGGCAGTCAGGTCGATGACCTCGTGGAGTGTAACTCGGGACAACTGCATCTCACAAGCACGAAAAATTACTATTCAACAACACGCAGAGAAGGTCAACATCAATTAGAAGAGGACGCGTAGCCCAATCTCAGTCCTCGAACCGCCCCTCCAGGATGCTCTCGAAGGTGAAGGGGAGGAACTTGAAGCCCTGGCCTGAGTAGAACTTGTTTTGGAACTCCACCCTGTAAAAGAAAAAATACGTTTTAAAAAAGGGCCAATCAAGACAACACAATGAGCAGGAAGGCCCTCGCACAATAAAGCATACATTGAATTCCTGCTCCACTGGTGCAGAAGGGTAGACAAGGACGGGAAATAATATACGCTTAAGCCTCTGCACTTTTTATAGTTTTCAAAAGTCCCCAAATAATATTTTGAAAACTTATCGCCTCTAAAGGCCATTTAGATAAAGCTGAGTCACCCAGCATTCCTGTGGGTTATTATCCAAAAGAATAACCATGTCAGTAGAGTGTAGAGTGGCTGCAACAGAGGCACATTCTCTGGATTGGAAAAAGGCAGCGTGGCAGTCAGCCAAGCCGGACAAGAATATTAACAAAAGAAATCTTTTGTGAAAAGGTCTCAACTGTAACTATTTAAAGTAACCGCGGCAACATGTTGCACGGATCTGCTAAACTTGGTGTTTGGTTCGGTGATGCCGATATTCATGAGGCATCACCGAATGTTGATGGGAGAATTGATAAACGGATTCCTCTTTATTTATTATAATCAGGAAATGAGCCCAACTTGTCTTTTGTTAAAACATTTTAAGTGAATGGTTGTCATCTTCACTGGCTGTACATTAACCACGGACCTTTGAACTCTGGAAAAGAAATAGCAGGTGCTCCATTGGGTGAAACTGACCCTCAGGAACAGCAGAGGCTTTATGTTCACCAGCAGTTGGCGCTATACGACTTTAATTTACAGTCAAGTCCCATTTTAAAATAGAAAACCCAGGAGGAACGGAGTTTAGATGAACGATAATCAAAAAACACAAAACGAGACTCAACTTACCAGTGCAGGCGCAGTGCATGCAGGAAGGCTGACAGACCCTCCATTATGAGAAGGATGGCCACTGTGAGAATAGCGAAGAAGAAAAAGACGATGGTCACGACCAAGAAACCCGCAAAGCCGCTGGTAGAGAGGCCGATGTGCATCACCATGGTCCACAGCACTTCTGACAACTCTGTGCACAGAAGACGGAGAGAAAAGGCAGAGTTCGGTGCTGTCAGTAACTGCTTCTCTCCACAAAACACATGTTTATCACTGAAGAATCTGCTTTCAAACCCTGAAAAAAGGGATGTGGGGGGGTGGGGGAGGGGCGTGACTTACGTGCGTGAGCCAGACTGAGGGCCCAAAGCCGCAGATAGGAGGCCGTGTTGGAGATGCAGCCCAGGCAGTACTCGATGGTGTGGATGGCCTGATGAACGGCCACATCCCCAAAGTTAAACTGCAGGACAGATACAGAACATCAGACATCCACGTGGCCGGAGAACAACGGCTCTATAACAGGTCCTGAAGTCCACACGCAGAGAGGGGCGGAGGGGTGTGTGTGTGTGTGCGCGCGCGCAAGATCATTCAGCTAAATAACAACAGGAAAGCCATTTGCCAACGCAGATGAGCGAAGCCACTTTAATTAGGAGACGCTGTCATCCCATGACCCTGTGGACCCAAAAGCATCAGCAGCCCTGCTGATCCCCCATGCACGTCACCATGGAAACGCTGGCGCCCAGTTTGACGCCTTCCCTGCAACCCACTGGTTCCAACATTCACATTCATTCAAGTGACACCTGGAAAGACACCGGCTAACAGTTACGCACGCACACGCATCTAAGAGCAGCGGGTAATGGTGGACGCCATACGGAGACAACAAAGCGAGGGGCGCGAGGAGACAGAATTGCTAGACATGCACTTGGACGGGTGGGGGTGTAGCGTGAGCTCCTGTCCTACCTCTTCCTCCTCGCAGGCCTTGACAGCAGGTGACAAAAGGCAACGCTTGGTTATTGACAGCACACACACAGATCGGCAGACAGACGGCACGTGAGTGCAACAGAAAAGAAAAAAAGATCACAGGAGAAATCAGTTACTTGCTTAAAAAGGGTGATGGGAAAAAAAAAGGAGGGTGAATTTTACAGGAACACATGTACAGCTAGAAGAATGCAGGATTCAGCATGACGGTGTTCTGGTAACGTTAAAGCCCTTCAGACTTACAACAGCAACCCGACTGGTAGTATTTTCAAAACGGAGATGAAGTAGCCGGTGGCTGACATGAGAAAACAAGCATTGAACAAGTCGTATTTAATCTGCCAACAGACTTTCCTGTAACGTTTAAGTGAGGCGCTTGTTGAGGCCGCTCAATACACCAGCCCTTCGTCCATAATTGACGTTTTCCCATCACAGTGCAAGCGGAAAACACGAGGCATCGGTTTGCAACTGAATTATTCAAAGCGGTGAGGAGATCCTATAACCGCCCTGCCAACAAACGGCCGTCTCTCACAGTTCTGTGACAAAGAGGAGGCCCAATGCAGTCAGATGGGGCGGCGGCGTTACCTCAGGCTCCTCCTCAGAGTGCTGAGAGAGCTGGTCGTGTTGGATGATTTGGGCCTCGTCCTCGGTGGGCCCGTTGCCCACCCTGATCCCTCCAAAGTTCTCTCTACCCTGACGATGAAGACGGATAGAATAAGTGACAAAAAAGGGGATCAGAACGCGTGTCACTTTCCAGTCGTGCCACCGATTCTCACCAGGTTTTTCCGCCACAAGTGCTGCCTCCGCAGCACCAGAGTTTTCACTATCAACATACAAGGAACACAAGCCAAGGCGATGATCACCAAGAGGGATTGTATGACCATCTACACGGAGGAGAGGGAGAAAAAGAAAAAAGCAGCACATGACTCGCCACGCTTCATTTTCCAGTGGAAAAGGACGTCTGGTGTAGTGGAGGAGTGTGGAACCGAACCTGTCCTGTGTAGAGAGGTTTGTTACTGGGGTCGTTGTAGTTGAAGAGGAACATGTTGATGAAGGCAATGAGGAGACTCGGGGCGTCCTTGGATATCCTCGCGTCGTACGAGAGCCACTTGTAGAAGATCAGAATTGCCAGGTAGCCGAACAGGCTGGCCATGAAGACAATCTCTGGGATGAATCCCAAGTAGATATTAAGCGGCTTCTTGAAATACCTAAAAAAAAAAAAAAAAAAAACAAGCACGAACAAAGATTTTTTGGAGAAAAAGGAACACAAGAGTTGTAAACACAAATGTTGGATGGAAATCTCACAGGTGGTTGAAGAGGCCGAGGGAGACTCCAAAGAGCATGTGGATGACTCCCAGGATGATGGACATCTTCATCTTGAACGAGTTCAGGAATGTCAGCTTGTTGGTGGCAATGTTCCATATCTGAGACCATACGGCAGAAGATGTGTGGTCGTGTCATGTTTGTGCACGTATGAATTTATTTCTGAGCATAAAAAAAATTGTTTCCCGTGAGACGGCGTGATGACAGACGGAAACTTACCGGATCGATGCCGATGGGATACGGCCCTTTGAACACTCCGTCTACGGTCGGGTCCAGCTGCAACACTTTGTTCCCGCGCAGCGTTTCAAACCTTTGAACGGGAAGAGAGCATCGATCACTCCAGTGCCTCGGGCCGCCGGGCCAGCCGCGCGGGACTTCGGCTCCTCGCCGCCGACACTTACGTCCAGTTGCCGCCGCCCAGCCGCGAGGTGAACATGGGCCTGACGCTCCAGCCGGAGCCGAACACGTTGAGGGACTTGGAGAAGCAGTCGTTGTAAATGATCCCCGTGTAGACGGAGAAGACTCCCATCAGCAGGATGATGTAGCGCCCGGCGAACACCATGCTGAACATCTGCCGAGATGGATACATAAAATCAATACAGTCGGCGAGTGACAAGAAGGCCACGAAGAACGCCGCGTCAATCCCCAGAAGCCTCGGTGCAGGCTGGATAAGATCTCCCGGCGACGGTGGTGCCGTACCTCGTTGTCGTTCTTCTGGGCCATCAGCCTGCTCTCCCTCAACACGAGGTAGAGGGCGGCACAGGTCATGAGCACCCCGTGGCCCATGTCGCCAAACATAACGGCGAACAGGAAGGGAAAGGTGATGATGGTGTATGGCGCTGGAGACGAGGCGGTATGGAGGCAGGCGTCACGTGAGGTGGTTGGGGAGAGGGGGGGAGGGGGGGGCATTGCAGCAGGTGAAACAACACAAGAGGGACACAGTCAACAGCATGTTCAAACGAGGTGATGACGGGCAATGAGTGCCTCTCAAAAAAAAAAAAAGGGTGATTGGAAAGGAAGGTCAGGGGTCAAATTGTTCTAGGGACGCACAGAGAAAGGTGCGACACACGCGCTTACCCGGGTTGATCTCGCGGTAGCTGCCAATCCCGTAGGCGTCCACGATGTTCTGGAAGCCCGAGGTGAACTTGTTGGTCTTGTTAAAGGTGGGCGCGGGCTGCTTAGTCTGCATCCTATTGAGGATGGAGGGCACCGTGGAGCCGCTCTTCTCCTGCAGCAGAGAGGCGCAGCATTCAGAACAAGATTAGGAGACACGCGATAAACAATCGCCACCATCCGGGCACATCGGTGATATTTGCAAATGCCATTGCTCTCTTCAAGAGTGGTGGGTGTGCACGAGATGGTGAAAGCCCTCCTGAGACAGCACACCTTGATCCTTCTCTAAGTGCTTAGAGAAGGATCTTGAGTGCTGCAACGGGCATAATTTAAAAACATTTGGGTTTTAGGAAGCATTTACTTCTTTTTATGAAGAACCTGCACGACCGGCTGGGACAACAGAGCTGGTTAAATACGCCATTCTGTGTGGGTGAATCACTTGTGGACCGTGCACTGCAAACAGCCCGCTTACACTCACGTGCTTCAGAACTATTGTGTCTCAAACCGGCTCAACGACAATCAACGCAGGTTTAGTTGAACTGATTTCTAAGAATAAAAAAGAAAGAAAAGAGGAGGCCTAAACTGCCCCGGTTACTCACCGTGCCCCTTCGCAGAGCAAACTGGATGGAGTCCATGTCGGAGACGGGACACCACACCTCAGCGATCAGACACTTCTGAGTGACGTCGATGTTGCAGAGGTTGAGGGTGTGGTAGATGGCCTTCATCTTCCTCACCTTGATGAACCACACTCGGACCGTCTTGGCTGCAGCTTGCAGGACCCTCTGCCTGTGGTCCTCGGTCTGGTTCAGCACCTTCGGAGGGGGGACAGTAGGAGAGGGGGTCGGAATAAAATCTTACAAATGAAAGTGTTATCTGGCTGTAATCAGTCTCCTACTGCTGCCTGTGATGGCTTTTTAGAAATGGATTTTGAATCATTGACGGTTCCTTTTTGGCCATTGTGAAAAGATCAACATGATCTTTGAAGTTTTGCAAATTGTCCACTGTAGAGAAACCACTTTTGTTGTGGTGAACCTTGTGCTTATCAAAAAAAAAAAAAAAAAAAAAAAAAAGGAATATTTTACAATACAATTGTAACCATAGTGCGATTAAAATGCATTTCTAATTCATGAATCCATCCATTAAAAGTCACAGCTATATGGATTATATACACATATTTGGATTCCTAGTCGGTCTCCTGCCCTTGGTTGGTAGTGGTGGGTGTGGTACGCTCCACTTGGAAGCACCTGGGCGTGGTGCTCTCAGAGGATAAAGGCTCTGCCTTTCGGGCGTCCCTCGCTCTCTGCTGCTGGAAATTATTTGTCTGCGGGCCACCAGGCAACAGCCTCTTGTCCCCGGTTGTTCTGTGTTTGCTGCTGGATGACTCAGGTCAGAAAATAGACGGATATCTAAGCTGTGCACTCTGCACAGGCTCAGTGACACACACACACACACACACAAGCGATGGCCGACCCCATAGCTTGATACCCCTCATCACCAGTGGCAACCGTCATGCCATCGTAGCAAACCGGCCAAATGCTGCATCTGCAAACGCCGGGTTTCACATCCCCCAGAGCGTGGAGCCGCTAGAAGATATCAAATCGCTTTGATGAACAGACCCGTGCAAGCAAGCAAGCGGCAAATGTCCATTGGAACTAAAATATCAAAAGCTTGTAAGATGTGAGCCGTTCACTTCTAACGGACTTCAGCTCGGCCTGAGGGGAACGTTATCTCTGCGATATGCGGGTTGGGACATGAAAAACACTACAGTAAGAGCCCCCGTGTTAAATCTGCATTGGCTAAAGTTTATTGAAACTTTATTATCGACCCAGTGATTCGGACCAACCTGGCGGCACACATTGGGCGTTTGCAGGTTGCAGACTTTACTGCAGCTGTTAAGTTAAGACCACTTAAGTCACATTTCAACAGCATAAGCGACGCAATGAAAACACGTTGTGTCATGAGGATCGGAGGATTAAATTGGCAAATAAAATAAATAAAATTGGCAGTACATAGAATTGGGCAAAAGAGTGAAAAGAACAGTTCTGACTTCCTTCCACTTATTGGCCCACATGTCGTTGAGCAAAACGGACGTTTGTGCCTCATCTACGTTTCCTTCCAGTGGATTTGAAAAATATTTTGAGGAAGAGGCAAAAAAAAAAAAAGGAGAAGAGACTGATCCAAGTTGTGTCTGTTAATGCGTCAACATTGTGTAGCAGTGGGGTTTTTTACCATTTGCAGGTCTTCAATACGAGCATTCACCCCTGCTAGCATCTCTTTCCTCTCCTGGCGCGTCTCTGGACACGGGTACAAAGTCGCTCTGAATCTGAGGACAGATGGAAAAAGAAGCGCCCATCAAAAAAGCAAATGTCAGCCAATAAACGCCTCCTAAAATCGTACTAAATGTCAGCCAGTCACGTACCCCTCACAGATCTTCTTCACTCGGTTCTTCAGCTGGTCTCCCTGGAAGAAGATGATGAAGACGGACTTGTGTACCTGGTCGCTCTGTGGAAACATCAAATAGTTAGGACTAAAAAATTAAAACAACGGCATTAGCATTGGACCGGACCTCGGTACTTACCGTAATCGGGTCCTCCAGAGGATCTTCGATTTCTGCCTGCTTCAGGAACACGTTTCCCCTGCAGACTCTCCACAGCATCCTCTCAAATGTGGGAATGCGTTCACGGCCAATGACTCCCGCCACAAACCTGTGGCAGAAAACCTCGGTCACCGCTGTCGGTATGGACAACACTTCACACAGTAAACAATGTGTCAACTATAATCGTTAGTGTACATTTCATTTACCGTGTGCAGATCCTGAGTCTTAAAAAGCCTGGGCTTCTGCTATAGGAAATATAGAAAAGGCCTCATGTGCACCAGGGAACACAAATGCACACTCACCCCAGTCTGAGAGGAGCCACTCGCTGCGGCTCATTGGGGTCCAACAGGGTGTTTGACTCGTCCAGTACGCTGGGATCCTCCATCTGCATCACAGTCAGTTCATATCGAGTTAGTATCACTACTAGAAGTGCACTCCCATATAAACACACTGCAGGTAGCAGACATTATTTTGGACAGTTGAAAGACGGGTAGAGACGTGGTCTGTTTCCAGCTCAATGATTTATGGCATTTAAAGCCCACAACAGCTTAACGTTGTGTGTTAACACTGTTTGGCATGTGGAGGCAATAAAGGGAAATTGATGTTGCGCAAAAGGAAGGTAGGTAGACGAGGCTTTGCTCCAACAAATAAAGATTACAAAAATTAAAAAAATAGAATCAAATCCGTGCAAAGTGTTATACAGCAGTGGAATTATAATACTAATGAGTCTAGTGTAAATGGGCCAAGACCATGTGAGCAACTTTAAATCACGAGTGAAAGAGCTTCTGCCAGACCAAGCAGCAATAAATGCTTCATTGTGTACGTGTACGTGTGTGTGTGTGTGTGTGTGCGCGCGCGTCTCCAGCTTAATCTGAATGATCTCAATGCAAACCAGAAATAGCTGCATTTAGACTCAAACATTGCTTTTCTTCCCCATTGCCACAGTGAAAATATAAAAACATAGTAAGTTGTGATTCACAATCAATCCATATTCAATCGCTAATTTGTTTCCAAAGACATATTTGGAAGTTAGAAATGAAACTATGGGGAGCAATACTTATTTGAATTATATATACACACACTAAATATATTCTCCCTCTACGGCAAAAGCTAGTAAAATGAAAAACACCCTGAGCACATTGCTTTGCGAGGCCTACGTGCACATCACTGACCTCATCAAAAAACTGCTGAGTGCGCCGCAGGATGTGCTTGAGCTCGGTGAGCTCCAGGAAGTTCTTCTTCAGCGCCTCTTGGTTGGTGTTTATTTCCTTCAGCTCATTCTCGAGCTTCTCGAACGTGGCCTGTGTGGAGGAATACAAGACGGGTCAGCAGAGGCAGGCAGACGGAGCTCGCGCTGAGAACGAGTGAGGTCACCTCCAGGTCGATCATGTCCCTTGGGAAAGGGACTTCAGGGTTCTCTCCAGTGTCGACCATTGGGATGTTCGCCTTCTTGATCTCTTTCTCCACAAATCCTGCGAGAAAGTAAGAACAAAAAGATTAAAAAAAGAGCCGCCCAGAGTGGAGCCTCCTCCTCCTCCTCGTGGTTCAGGTAGACCGAGCGGCTCGCTTACTCAGTTTGCGATCCATCTCCTCGCATCGTCGCACTTCATTGACAAACTTTCGTTGGAACACGTTCACATCAGGATTTAGCTGCAAAAAAAACAAAAACAAAAACATGTGAGGCTCAAGCACCAATACATTTGACGTTATGTGCATCCATAACTACAGACCACTCTGCCAATAATGTAATCATTAAAAAAAAAAAAAAACATTGTTTCCACTGCTGGAGGACGTGTAATCCGATGAATTTCCCCAGATGCCACGGTGTGTGTGTGTGTGTCTGTGTGCGCGCACACAGACGTACTCTGTTCCAGCCCGTGCTACATTCTAGCACAACTCTCCCGTCGGGCCTCTTCTGGAAACGGCCTCTTCTCATGTGTGAAACGCAGGGTCGGCCGTGAACGCATGATTAACACGCCGCTGTAGGCGTGCACTCGCTCAGCATCACCCCCTCCTCCCCCGTTTAGTTCAACAGTTCAACTTACATCGCGAAACTGCACCATCCCGATCTCCCCCAGCTCGCTGACACAGCAGTAGGCCGCCTCGGACTGGAGGAAGAGTTGAGCCAGCGTCATCTCCTCGCTTCTGAAGAGTTCCCCCATACTGCCGAAAGGACGGGAGCCCTCGGATTGAACCCCAAACCTCGGGAGAACAGAGCGTTGACACAGACCGTTAGTCGAGAGAGAGAGAGAGAGAGGACACTTTCCTCCACATGGCACAAACACACACACAGTGTGTGAGCACTCCATCAGTTGTGTGTTAGTTTAGCACAAGTGCGAACTGCAGAAAAAAGTCAGTCTGCCCTCGTGCTGATCTCATGATAGGTGAAGGAATGCAATCAGGGGGGGCGCGCTAAGAGGGAGAAACACATTCATACATTTTGAATTCAAATTGAAGATTAATAGTTGATCTCATTTGACACGGGACGCCCACATAGAGGGGGGGGGGGGGGGGGGGATTATCTGTGGATTACATGGAAGCACGTGTGACCGAGGAGCCTCGATCGTCGCACCGCGTCCGAGCAGAAGCGCACATCACCTGGTTTAACGGGGAACGGGTCCTAACGTCACCACTCGACCCGACAAAATCTAACCAAAACCAACCATTCGCCACAGAACGCAATGGCAGAGTTTGTCGTAGTGTGTTTGACGTCAGCCGCACAAGTCAAATGAGGGAATAGCGACGTTAGCTTGCGGCTGCTAGTCAGATTAGCGAGCGTTCGTTAAAGGTGCAACTATAACGTTAAGAACACTACGCGGAAACGGGAAAGTCACCGCGGTGAACGGCGACGTATTCGGAGATCGCGTCGACGGCTTAAGTTAAATTACAGTGGACCTTCCTCACTTTGGACCTCACAAGTTTTAGCTGTTATAGCTAATAAGTGCACCTGTTGTTCAGCATTTCAGCTCACAATAATCACACCGACACCGCAAGGGATCTTGAAACAATTCACTTTCCGCTTAATCGAACCACCGGGTCTTACTGGCAACGCGAGCAACTGGACTCTCTCCTCCTCGGTTCCCTTCCTGGTTCGCCGGGCTGTTTGTTTGTGGACCGACGGGTCGGATCTTCACAGCTGACGGCTCCTCTCCTTCTTCTGCGTCATCTTTGAGGTTTCCTCCTCGGCGCCTCGTGGTCGCCCCCTACTGGAGACAGCGGTCCTCAGAAAAACAACACCTTCAAAACCTTTAATTAGACAGATGAAACTGATGATTACAAAAACAGTCATATGGAATGATTATATATGTGTATACAAATAATGAATACACATTAATATAAATGTATTTAGCTTGTTTTGAACTTTTGGACATTTGTCAATTTAAGCGTTGATTTAGACTGGTGGACAGCAGGGGGCGCTGCGTCGAGTGCAGGTTTGTTTGTCCGTGCACCGTGAGGGAAAAACACTATTTCCAGTTGTCCACGGTAGTGATGGGAATTTCGGATCTTGCTTCTTTGAATCTCGTTCAGTAAAATGAACGAATCTTTTTTCGAGTCATTCGTTCACGCACGACACGTCACTAGTCCACGGTCATTTGTTTCATATGTTGTCAAAAAGCATCGAGAAGCATATTGCAGGCTGTGACTTTCAGATTGGTTTGGAATCTCACTGGAGCTAAATAAACCACTACACAGTCGAAAAGGCCTAAAAGAAGCGGTGGTTGCGCTGCAGCTCAGAACAGAAATGGTATATTTTAAATAAAAGCAGAAGCTGCTGTGAAGCAGTATTGCTATTATTGCCTTTATTTATTGTATTGTTTGTATTGTATTTAAACCTGTTTAGTGTAAGGTGCAACGCCGAGCTCCAGTACACACCTACCAACTGAATTGCGTGTTTCTGACCAGTGGACCAACAGCCTTTTACCATCGTTTCTCCCAGAGGAGTTACTGGATATACATCTATATAAAAGCATCCTAGTACAAAAGTTTCAGCTGTGTTTTTAAAAACCAAGTCAAGATGTAAAAAAACACACAAACCCACTGTATGCAGACGCTTTACTGAAGCCTTTGTAATGGGTGTAGTGACACAATTCAATTCATAAACCGCGTTTCTACACGACATCCTTACAAAAGGCATGCAGGGTGTAAGTGCTCCCACAATGCTGTTCCTATACAGATGGTAAAGAGCAACGAGCTGGTGTGATTCTAAATACAAACTGTCAGCTCCACCTGGCATCATAGTGCAAATATCAGTAAGTTCATATGCATGGATACAGCTCTTGACTGATCTTCACTATGATGATAGTTGGTGCTAATAACTGGTTACATATAGTGGTTGTCAAGTGTTCAGATGTTGTTGAGTTAGCCATGTTTCAGAAACAAAAAGACACTTAAATTAAGAATAATTTTGAAAGTCACTATAATGCCCCCTAGCGTAAGCGCATAAACGCCTCTGTGCTTAGCGCCCAGCCTGCGCGAGTATAAACAAAGCTTACGAGGTGGAGCCTGGCCGGGATAAGCTTCCCCCCGGACGGATTGGGTGGGGCGGGGGGCACGCTTTTTCACACGCTGGTTTCACAGGGAGCAGAGGCATTCGAGCCAGGGCACACATACATCAGCTGTGAAGAGCCCCTACTCCCCTTGGCGCGCTGGCAGAGAGAGAGGGAGAGAGGGACAGAGAGAGAGAGAGAGAGAGAGAGAGAGAGAGAGAGAGAGAGAGAGAGAGAGAGAGAGAGAGAGAGAGAGAGAGAGAGAGGTTGGCTGGGAGTGGGAGACTGAGGGTGAAGAGAAAGTTTAAGCGTGAAGTAGACTAGGGAGAGGGGAAAAGTGGTTCCAGAACTTCGTCTGAAGGAGGTAGAATAGAATTTGTACCCGAGTGCCGTGCAGCAGGGCTCCTGCGGGTTTCTTTTTCAGAAGTGTATTTTTATCTGCCGTGAGCGTGCAGGCAGTTTGTATTTGGAGCCGACAGCCATGGCGGATACAGGTCTCAAGAAGGAGCACATAGTCCTCGCGGAAGTGCCGTACGACGATGACGAGGTGGCTCTGGTGGGTGCCGCCATGCAGCCGGCCCTGGACGATGCCGATGACGACGTCGACCCCGCCAAGAAGACGGGCCCGGCGCCAGACTCTGGGGGCAAGAGCGAGGCCCAGATGAACGGGGTCATGGTCCTCTCTCTGCTGGACAAGATCATCGGGGTGGTCGACCAGATCCAGCAGACCCAGAACGGGCTGGAGGCCCGGCAGGAGGCCATGGAGAAGTCGGTGTCCGCCATCCAGGGGGAGCTGGGGAAGCTGTCCAAGAACCACGTCGGCACTGCCAACACCGTCAACAAGATGCTGGACAAGGTGCGCAAGGTCAGCGTCAACGTCAAGACGGTGCGCAGCAACCTGGAGAAGCAGGCGGGCCAGATCAAGAGGCTGGAGAGCAACGAGAACGAGCTGCTCAAGAGACGCAACTTCAAAGTCCTCATCTACCAGGTGAGGACTGAGAGCTGCAGAGTGTGTGTGTGTGTGTGTGTTTCTATCACAGGCCGGAGCTTTGCTCCACAATGTGGTTGCTGTGCTTTGCATGTGGCGGTTAAGCTCACGCTCACAGCGCAGGTTCAGGGGCCGGAGGGGTTGTTGCCCTCATCGTACCGCAGTGGAAAGTTAGCAGGGGTCGGAGTGCGAAAGGCACCTGGGGATCCATCAAACCGAGAGCAGGAGTCCCACCGTGGCTCGAGTTGACCTCTTGGTGGTGGAATGTTCACTACGTGGAGGCTTCTGCTCCCTGGTTTCCGTGACGTGAATCTCTGAATTGCTTTTCCCCTCAAACTTTAACGAGCTGCAATGTTTCTGAAGAATCAGACACTGTTTAGAAGCTGGAGCGCGGTTTGTGTTGAGACTCGGGGACAGGCTGGTCCCTTCTCTCACTTATAAGGGGAAAAAAAGAAGGCAGATTTTGGCCTCGCTCCAGGAGTTGACGATTACCCAAATAAACTATATAAAGACCGGCCAGTGTAAATGAAAAGGCCTATAAACACTTGCATGGAGGGCTACTTGAGAGTGAACCAACGCCCCGCCGCTGAGTGCTCTGAGGCCAGATACTTGGCAGACGGCTGGCATGTGAGATGAAGATGTGGTTTTTATTATTACGTTTTCCCAGAAGTGCTCATGGCGCACGGAGCTTCACTTGAATAATCTGACAACGCAACAAGTCTGAGTGATTTATTCCAAGGAGCCTTCACCAACAGCTGGGACCATGAACATAACAAAGTAGAAAATAATCTGGATAAAGGACACACATGTTACGTGTGCTTTTTATGTTTGGCAGTTGAACCCTGAAGCGCGCAGGCCTTTACCTCGCGCACATCGCACCACAAAAAGGCAGAATACCTTCCCTGAACAACGTTGCCTACTCTGTGGGTAGACCTTACTTACAGGAGCCAAACCCCCCCCCACAACCCCTCCTGGGGTTACACTATCGGCATGTCGCAGAAATCCAACCGTAGACGCTCTTCCTTCATAAATTACTCTGCAAAGCAGGTGCCTCCCGCTGCGAGCGACGCTGCGTTGGCCCGAGCGGTCAGGAAACCATCGTGCTTCCACCTTTTCCCCCCTGTTTGTATTCTAGGATAGGTTTTATATTGTGTTTTCATCCGAGCCGCGATATTCTCACGCAGTCACGTCCACCGAACCGTCCCCTGTTCGGTCTATTTAAATGCCAAGCGAGGGCCAGTTAGTATTCAGGTGACAAAAGGAACAGAGGCCACTCAGAAGTTTGGCAGCATTGCAAATTAACGCCGGCTTTCGGTCAGCTTTCTCCACTTTCCACCTCCCGTTTGTGTGTTAATGTGTAAGAATGGGACCAGTTGGATGTGTAGGGGGACGGGGGGAGGGGTGGGGGGGGGGTTAGCCCGGCTGCAACTGGCGTTCCGCTCCGGGATGGCGTTTAACTCTCAAGTGTCCCTGTCAAGTGGTGAAGTGTCAGTGGTTCGATTCCGCGGCTCCGTCTTTAAGCCTGCGGCGAGCGAACGGGCGAATGACGACACGCGGCCACACTTGTGCGGCCGATTTCCCATCACTCTGTCCTTTGTGGGCACTCTGAGAATAGCCTCATGCTTCAGGACCTTTAGGCCCGGAAAGGCTCCAACGGTGGCGCTTTATAATTAAACGTGCATCAGTGTTGGCACGCAGGGTCGCCCCGGCAACAGCAGGGTGTGGTCATGATGGCCGATTCACCAAATGGACACATCGGCATGTACTCTAATGGTTCATTTTAGTGAAAGTACAATGGCCTAAAAGTACCATGTTGCAATTCAAGTCACCGTGAGGAACCTTTGGTTATGAACGCCCTCAATTTGTCACCCAATGACTCTATACGATACAGATAAGTACCGGTATTTTTTATTTCTTCATGCTTGTGAACCCCACGGTGCTGCGAAGTACCCAGAACCACGGCACAGGGGCCGCCAGAATCTAAGTGAAAGTTAGTGATAGTGGCATTACAAGTATACATTACAAAAATATTCTCAAAGTACCCAAAGGAAAAGTACTCAGAATGCAGAATGGCCCGTTTTGAAATTCCGAAGGACCAGAATTGTGAAATATCTTTTTGCACTTTTGCACTGCCACAGTTTTGTGGCTTTTAGAATATGAAATATTCGTCATGGAAGTGGAACATCTCCTGCCTTGTTAGGCCGCACCTTTGTGGAGTCCTAAAATACAAGCACCTTATTGCATGACCTTGCAGGGACTCAGGGTCCTTCTGCCGCTCTGGGCACAAGCAGCCTGTCATCAGAGCTTTGTGGCCCGCGGACGGTCCCTGATCCAGCAGGGGCCCCGCTTTCACCACTGCGCCCTCTTATACAACTCGATTGTTTTATAAACATGGCCAGTTTTTTCTCATTTCGCCAGGTATTTGGGCTTTGTTGGGTCATTCTTACAGTTAAAAAACCTGCTGTTTTGCTTAAGCAATTTCCTCTTGGCAACAAACCGAGAAACAAGCCGCGCAGCGATAATGTGGTTCCTGTGCAAATGTCGTACTCCAGCTAGAAGAAAGTTCAGCTTGTCCAAAAAAGTGGTTTGCCTGTGTTCCACATTCCACATTTTGAAATTATATATTTCAAACGGCAACCTGCCCCTTCATAATGCGTGTTAATATGATGATGTGGATTAATGTGGTGCATGCAACGCGAGATGTCCGTGGGAGTCTGATACAGTTGCAGCTGTGTGTCTGGAATCAGGAATCAGGGTGTGTGTTTGGCTGCCGCTCAGCGATAGCCGTGTGGTCAACTCTAACATGGAGATAACTTCTCGGTTACAGTCTCTGTCTCACATCGGAGCCAGACAGCCTCGCTAAAAGTCCAGTTTCATCTTCAAATACCCTGCTCCTACGGAATATCACTATTCCACCTACTTGAGACAAGGTGATCCAGCCAAGGCCTCTTTTGGGGCCCCTTCAGCTTTCCAACTACTTGTTTTCAGGCTACAGTTGGATCTCGTTCCAGCAGGGTTAGTTAAGGAGCACTTAGGCAAACACCCTTGTGTGTGGAGGGCAACAAGAACAACAGAAAGCCCTGGAACATTAGCCTGTAAGTTAGTCTGTGATTCACCACGATAGCATCTCTGTGCCCCTCTAATCAAGAACCAGGCCCGTTCAGTCATTTCCTCCTTCTCCTCCTCCTCCTCTTCCTCTTCCTCTTCCTCGCCGGACGGGTGGAAAGATATCTGCCAGGCTCCACATTTTACTACTGCACGTCAGCAACAGAATCAAGCTGGTTTTGGAGTTCCAGCGCTCGGTGGCGTGCGAGCATCTGCGTGTGAAGCGGCGTCCGGAGGGTGATGAGGTCGCGGGCTGCATTTTTTTTTGCATTTGGTTCTAATAATAGACTTTTTGTGTGTGTGTGTGTCGGTTCGTTCTATAGGTTGTATTTGCTGCTGGTGCTACTGCAGCCCGGCCAGTGCTCCTGTCATTGGTATTGATATACAGTGTGTGCAGCAGAAAGAGGATCCCTGCTACTCCAACCAACGTCTACATGTTGTGGTTGAGTTATTTATGGAGTCAAATTCCCCGGTGTTTGTTGCACATTGCTTTTTTTTACACCCCCCCCCTCAAAAAAAAACAATTTCAGAATCAGCCCCCAGGTACTCGTGTGGACACACAAGTCTCCACGTGTGAAGCACCTTTTATACTCCAAATCCATCCAGATGTGCTTGGGAGCCGCATGTATCCGCGTGCACGGGAGGACAGCGGCCCGGCCTCAGGCCTTCCCGTCTCACGCAACATTCAGACGGACTTCACCAGCTGGGAGAGAAACCCCCACACCCCCCGGTCCTCTCATACCCCTTCCGTGACTCGGAGCAGTTGTAGGCAGCGGTCTTGGCCGGGTCACAGAAATGTGTCCTCATACCACATGGCGAGTCAGTGGAGGCTGCTGACACCCGCCGCTCTAGTTATGTGATGTGTAGGCACACCTTCACCGACAAGGCCACCGCCAGCGTACGTACGGCAAGTTGCCTCGGCATGCGGCCGTTTATTAAAGATGAACCGGCAGCGCTGCGGTGGAAAGGTGGGTTTCATAGGGTCAGGGGGGGGAGTTTAAAGTTAGCGATCAGCAGCACCGACTGATTGATTGATTGATTGATTGATCAATTAGGAAATCATATGACCGTGGTTGGCCCTTATTTGTTGGCTTCACACTGCTCTTCTACCTGTAAAATAAGTTGTTTATATATTTTTAATTTAACTCCCACAATAAATACCAGAACTGGTGACGGATACCTCAAACCTTCTGAAACCTGTCAATCAAAGTATCCAAGAAAAAAAAGTTGTTCTTAAAGCAGCCTCAATAAATTCCTATTAATAAACGCGCTGTTGCTGTAACATAAGAGGTTGCGTGTGAAGGCTGGAGGGTGCAGTCAGGTCACTGTGCTGGTGTATTTCCTACTGCTGCCTGTTACATTTTACATGCACATGGATGTTTAGGATGATTCATCTATAAATAATTGGGCAGTTTGAAAGACAAACTATGAAGTTGAAACTTAGTAGCACCGTCACCTTTTATTTAATTTCCTACTTTTTGCACATTTTCTCAGGAAAAGAAACGAATCATTGCGTACAATATGTTTCCTTCAAGACAAGACTCTTTTTCAGTGTAAATTGATACAAAGACAGCTCGGTGACAGACGTTGGGTTAAAATAAGGTTAATGGAGGCTCAAGGCTCAACATCCTGTCAACCTTTCCCATCTACAATGCTGTGGCGGCATTAATCATTATCACCAACAGCTCGATTAAGACGAGGCAAAGCACTGAGACGGATTGGCTGTTTGCTTTCCCTCTCGTACCCCCAGGTTTTATTTTCCAGGAGTTACGTCATTATGCATCATATTGGCCAGATGTAGTTCAGCAGTTATGTTTTCCTGTTTCCTGTATTCATGTTGGCAGCTTGTTCATGCCCTCACCCCACATCATCCTGTCGAGTGGAAATTTGAATGAATGAATGAATGATTGATAATTGCAACAACTGCTTGCTCTTAAAGGTGCAAAATATTTGGAAAAAACATATTCCTGCTCACTGGAAAAAATTCACTGCTGTTTCCACACTGGTTGCAATCTTTAAGGCAAAGACGGAGCATTTCAGAGGCGCCACATTTGACTAACCCTATTATTATATTGTAGATGTGGATGGCACTATTATAGAGAAATGAATATACATTCCAGCGCTGTAGCTGCCAGTTTGCAGAGATGTAAAAGTACATATCTTTGCATGATACTATAGCCTCTTATTCAAGTGGTCCCAGTGGGCTGTGGTGAAGGGCTTCCCTGTGTGTGTGTGTGTGTGTGTGTGTGTGTGTGTGTGTGTGTGTGTGTGTGTGTGTGTGTGTGTGTGAAATGACAGTGAAACCAAGGAACTCCCTTCCTGCGGTCTGCACTCGTAGCATGACATCGCCGCGTTGGCTCGGTGGCAAACAAAGCCCCTCTCTTTTCTAAAAACACAGTGGGATTGGTTGTTAACATTTCCATTGCCCACAGGACACACACACGGCTCCATCAGCGTGGGTCGCTCGGAAGGAGGAATAAGAAACAGAATCCGCGTTCTGCAGAGTCCCTGCAAGAAAGACACAGATACCCTTTTGAATTGTTGGAGCTTCATTTAGGAGCATGTCAGAAGGCGTCAACATTAAGTGTAATTGTAGTTTGAACACGGTTTGTCAATCCAATGAGAAAGTGTGTCCAAACCTATGACTGGTACAGTACGTTAGCCGTGCTTATTTTTAGCCGCACAGCATTCTTCAGGGATCAAAGCATGGCGGTTCGTGCCTGGTCAAACACCAAGCCGCCACCTCTGTTTCCCATCAATCCGTCGCTTGGCCTTCCTCCCATCCTGGGAGGAGCGGGTCGGAGGTGTCACTCACCGCGGAAGCTAAGTGCACAGCTGCAGGGCCTGGATGCTATGTGACAGCTGTCGTGTGACTCACCCGGAGAGGCCTTTCATCACGCTGCCTGTCTGTGTGTGTCTGTGTGTGTCTGTGTCTGTGCTTGTCTCTAATCAGGATTGCCGAATGTGAACAAAAGTCAGTCAAACATGCATGATGCATGCAGTGTTTTCCTTCTCAGTATTTATTTATTATAGATTAGGATTTAAATAGTAATTTAATCCCACAGAGCCAATTTACAATTAATAGCATGAATGCTTTTCCGTTTTTACACTGGCTTTGTAATAATAGTTGACGTGTCACACAGCACTTAATTGTTGTACAAATTACAATACACTTGAATAACTAAGCAGGGCTGTTGGACCACGTGGATTAGTTCAGGTATTTTAACAGGCGATGCGCCCAGGGTTGCTGTGGTCTTGGGCTCCGTCGTCAATGGCAACAGCCTGTTGTTAAATTATCCCCAAGCCCCCGGTATGAGTCAGGCAGGGAACATTTTTATGATCCTATTCAAACAATGAAAAAGCTTTGCAGTTGTTACACAAACACCTTGAATAATAATACAATAGTTTATGTTTCTTTTTTTTTTATGAAAAGATTACATCATTTCCAAAGGACGAGGTAAGCTCCAGTCTAATCTTTAATAAAACTCCCTCCCCCAAAGCAGGAGGCGCTGCTGTCAGGTCTTCTTGGCCTGTTTCAATATTTCTACTCGATGGGTTGTGGCCTTAGATCTGTCCCCAGATTGTTCCCCTCGGTCTACAAGGACTTTTTGATTGCATCTCCTGACAGTTGTCGGTTTGAAAGATCCCAAACCCCCCCCCTTCCCACAGACAAACACGCACACACACACACAAACTCTTTCTAGTCAACCTTTTCCATGAGGTATATGGAAGAAATAGGACATTAGCAACAGACGTCCTTCTTATTGAAGAGCGCGCACACACAGACACACACTCTCTCAGCCTCACTATTCGCCTAAGACCTGTCAGTAAACACACACACACACACACACACACACACACACAGTGCTGACTTTTCCACTGCTGCTAAGTGGGAGGAGAGTGGACGGTAACGCAGTAACACTAATGGACCCACCGTCTTCCTCCTTGAGCGCTGTCTTTGTAATCAGGCAGGGAAACCCAAACAGGGTTGGCTGATGTTATCACAATGTCCACTGGTACTGTGGTCCGAGTCAAGTTTTAAGAATGCTGAAAAACTTAATTTATATCTATATTATATATATATAGAGATGTAGATATAAATATAGCCTATTTAATTTAGGCCCTCTCAGTTTTGGCCCAGCAGCCACATTCTCTGCAGTAAACAACTTTTCTTCAAGGCATGTGAGGTCACCCGAATGGCTATTTGATGTTTTCTTTTTCACTACAAATGTTTACTCTGCATGAGTTTATCTTCCCAGGTTCTGGTCACATTTCAGGACTTTGCATATCTATCCATTAGATCTATGTTTATGATCTTAACGGAAAAACATTGTGGCACCGTTGTGTCCTCATGCATTCAGAAATGTCTCTCAATAATATTATTAATTCCACTCTGCTATCTAGTGCCCGTCTGCCAAGCAGCTGCACGTTATATTTGAGTTTAATTGTAGTACAATAATGTTGGTACGCTGGTGGAGCGGTCAGCTGTTTATGCAGCTCACCACCCACCAGAGACGACGTGGTTGCCATGGCCACAGAGCAGTGTGTTTATCTGTTGCCATGCAGGAGAGGAGGGGTGTTGTGTGTGTGTGTGTGTTGGGGGAGTGCAAATAGGTCCAGTGAGTGGTAGATTCAATCCGGAGAGATGCAAAGGCCAGCCAAAAATAAACCCATGCAGAGCAGAACGAGGCCTCACCCTACACGGCACCAGATAAGCAAGCAATGTCCATTTTATGTTAGGATCGTATGGCAATATTTAAAGTGCCCGGGGAGCCAATCACATGATCCGACAGGTGTTTGTCCTTCACAATCTTGCTCAACAGTGAAATCCAATTTTACTGTAAACGTAACTCTAAGTTTGTAATGACATAACTCCACCAAACCCATTGTATTGACCTCCTTTCTGACTTTTACTTTGAAACATTAATGTTGGCAGTAAAGACATTACCTCTCCCCATTCTCCCTCAAACATGGCTTCTCCTCATGTGTTGCTCTCTGCTGTCCGTCCGAGGGACGCTTGGTCTGCATGTGGCACCGACAGGAACCACATGTCTTGACCTCATTGAAGCTAACACATGAACCTTCTACTCAAACCTTTATACACAGGACAACCACAATAATGTAGAAACAAAGTAATCAAAGGATGCCAGTGTTTTTAAAATGTTATTACATTTTAGTAAATGTGATAAAACCAAATCGAGGCATTGTGACTTACTATGTTACGCCTGAATAAAGAGAAGCATCCGTGTGGCATCGTTAATCCCTCTTGGGGCCGCCGACATGCTGCTAAGGGGTTATCATTACCGGCATTACCGGACCCCATTACCAAGGGGGTCCCGCCCCACAACCTGCACACATTGCTTCGACAGCACTGATGTCGGCAGACTTTCACATATACAGTTGTTTCGGGTGAAACTGCTCCGCTGCCTTGAAAACCACTGTGAAACCGCAAAAAAACACCAAGTCTTTTCAGAGAAACGAAAGCAGCATCATCAGCTGTAGAGTGTACATATAGCGTATCTACCATTTATACATAACACATAGCTTTTTCTAATATAAAATGGGATTTCTGGCCAATTGGATTGGAAATCAAGCTGTTAAGTCACAAGATTGAATGAGTGTGAGTTTACTATTTATAAAGAAATGATAGCAAAGTGGCAGGAAATATTCCTGTGGTTACAGATGCAGCACCCAGTGGGCTTTAGTTTCAACATAACTGTGGATCTGCAGATCAGTTATTTAAATCCCCTTTGTTTTATCTTTATGTTGCATGAAGTGGTGTACGGTCACCACGCCAGACTAGATCATTACATTATACAGTACAGTATAAAATATGTGGCTGCCGCCATGTCGGCATGTGATTGACACCACTAGTTGGCACTCTACGCACGCTACACGCAGTAACACGGCTACAGCGACTATGAGGATGAGACATTAACCTGTGAAGCATCATGCTCATCTTTACAACTTCATTTCTCACCCAAAGGCCCGTTAAACCCCACTTTCCCCAGCACATGGCACATTAAATGAAAAGGCATAATTCACCTTAGAATACAATCAGTGCCTCATTCTGTTGGGATATGCCAATTGAGAATGACTCATTCCAACATTGTGAGGCCTTAATTTAATTCTTCCGTGTCTTCTGTTTATTGTCTATTTTTCCAACTCAGGACAAAGTGAAGCCGGTGAAAACGCACAGCGCAGCGGAGACCGTGGTCGAAGGCCAAAGCGTGGAGGGCCTGGAGCAGATACCTGAAGGACAAGAGGAGCCGGGCCACCTCAATTTGGACGAGGAGGTGGAGATCGAGGAGATCGTCGAGGAGTCTCGCACTAAGCGCCTCCAGCGCACCACTAAGCAACAAATGGACAACATAAAGAAAGTCTTCTCCAAGGAGGAAATGGAGAAGACCAAGTTGAAGACGAAGGAGAACCTGGAGAAGACGAGGCAGAGAACCCGCGACAACCTGGAGAAGACGAGGCAGAGAACCCGCGACAACCTGGAGAAGACCAAGCACAGCCTGGAGATGAAGATGGGCAAGCTGGGGAACCGCATGACCCCCAACACGGAGCGCAGGGCGAAGATGAAGAGCTCCAGAGAGAATGCAAAGAAGTCCCTCACCCCCGACCACACAGTGTACGCTCGCTCCAAGACCAGCGTGTACCGCGTGCCCCCCTTCACCTTCCATGTGAAGAAGATCCGAGAAGGTGAGGAGGAGGAAGAGCAGGTGGTGGTGGTGCAGAAAACAGAGATGGAAGAGGGAAGCGAGGGAGGCGAGGGCCAGCTGGGCGGAGAGGAGAACGGCCTGGGGGTGCACGTGGAGGTGGAGGAAGGGGAGCTGGTGAGTCTGGACAGCCCAGAGATGGAGGCTCTGTTGGAGGTGACTGAGGACCGTCAGCTGGTTCGGATGGAGCCGGAGGACCTAAAGAAGGCCCAGAGCGACTAGAGCGCGTCAGGGGGAAGAAAGAGGGGCGGAGTCTCATCACGAGGACACAATATTAGTCGTCGGGAACTTTTCTAGACGTGGTCACAATCGCTGACATCACTTGTGTTTTCTGTTCTCTTTTTACTGTACCCAGCAGGGATGACTTTCATATCGCCTCCTCTTTAGCGTAACTACACATAAAATAAAAAAAATTAAAAACAAAGCTAGGTTTTTGGAGCACGCTGACTCAAAGTGTTTTGCTGTTTTGCCGTTGGTTTGATCAATTGAGTGGCTGTTAGCATAGAAAATAGCCTTTGCTAGTGAGGATGTGATGTATGATCTAATATCTGCCATGTTTGATATGCACATTAGTAGGTCAGGTGATGGGAAGTTGTTGGTTGGATGGTTTTAGAAACGTGATATGCACGAGTGAAACAAAGAAAATAGAGAAGGGGGCAAGTGGCAGGGCATAGATGTTATTTACTCACTCAACCATTGCGCTAAATGTATCAATATAATGTACATGAGTTCAAATCGATGCATAATGTCTGAAAATTGATGTTGTGCACATCTAAACGCTGAGAAAATAAAAGAAATCACTCATAGATAGCACAGCAATAAAAAGCAAATGTTGCTGTTGTGAACCTTTCTTAAGATAAAATGTCTTTTTGATGACAAGGCTGCAAGGTATATCATGTATGTACACGTTTTGTGCTTTGATTAAAAGATAAAGGATTGTGAAATCTCCTTTCTATTCTGCATCACTCATAGAATATCAGCTGTATGTCATAATTAGTATACTCAAAGCTGATATCTTCGTGTATACTATATTTAGAATATAACCTTTTGAAAGTGTGCTTGGTCAACATTTACTGTACTGTTTTGATGTGTGCTCACCATTCTTTATTTGTTACATCTGGACGCGCTGTTCTCACCCACCCCCACAGAGGAAAAGAAAAATCAGTTACCATGGTCACAGCTCATCTCCACACATTTCTCTTTTTTTTCCCAAGGTAATGGCAGACGGACAAATGACGGTTGAAAGAGCAAGATGACAGTTTAATGGCTGACTAAGTAACAAGAGGAGATGCACACGTCAGCCTGAGTCCACCCTCTGGGAGACGGCACGCAGACCGCCATTATGAACGGCAGGGTACTTTAATACATATCAAAACACCATACTGTAGACCACAAACGTTTCATTTGCAGAGATGCTATCTTGTGTGTATGCTGTGATTTACAAAAGCCATTTCCCCACTTGTGTGAACAGCTGTCCAACCTTCACTGTTACGAAGAGAATAATACGAATGTGGAGGATTGGAGGAAGCTAGAATAATTGGATTGTAATGATTCTGTTCAATAATTGCCACTTATCAAAAAAAAAGGCTGTACGGCTTTCATTTTCGTCCTGGGGGACTGTGCGTGAGCTCGATGTGGCGCTGGCACACAGAAGACCACTGCGTAGCATGAAGAACCATTAAAATAATCAATGGGTGGGAGAATGCAATTAAGGAGAGTGCTCTCTCAGAGCCCTGCAGGATGGAGAACAGAAGAAAAGGGTGTGTGTGTGTGTGTGTGTGTGTGTGTGTGTGTGTGTGTGTGTGTGTGTGTGTGTGTGTCGTACTGAAGAGTAAGTATGTGGATACTATAGAACTTTCTAGCTTGTTGCAGCATCACGTGCAAATATGACATCAGATCATTATTATACAATTATGTTCTAAATAATTATATAATTTAATGATTTTTTGTTTAAAACAATTGCATTGTTTTCCACCTTGAACATCATAACACTTGTAAGATATTGGTCGCTTTGTTGTCTCCGGTTGTCTTGACCTAAAAGTTAAAACTAAAAGAACTGAACTGAGCCTGAGTTCTTTTACTGTAAGCCTCCGGCTTACAGTAAAAGAACTGTAAGCCAGAGGCAGTTCATTTTATACACATTTTAAAACAACTGCTGCAACACGGTGTGAGACATGTTTGCTCTCGGTGTAATTGATTCCTACTCTAATAATGAAAGCTTTTATTTTGTGTTTGAGCCCCTTTTGGTCCATTAATTATTAATAAAAGTGCACTGATATATTGTCTATTATTTTATTGAATTGTATGAATATAACATACTTGAACGCACCGATTCTGTGTCACCGTGTGTGTTTTACTAGAAAAAGCACCGGATTCATATGAGGAAATGTCCATTCCAACGCGTCCTGTATTGCCTCTACGGTAGATATTAAACTCTCGATGACGTCGACGCTGCCAGTAACTCAGATGACTTACAGACCGGCTGTTACGTCGAACTCCGCCTCCTCCCTCCGCAGCGTATGAGCGCGCTCGCCTACCCGGCCGTCCTTCCGGCGGGAGGGTCGGCTGACAGGAACAGCGAAGTTGCGACAGCAGTCAACATGCCGTTCTCAACCAACCTCCGCATGAGCTCCCGCCCCTCTTAGCTACACACTGTATTATGATTGCCTGCGGTAAAACCGCCTACTCCTATTGGCTATGAAGGCTGTCAATCAAGCAGTGTCAGGAGTTCTGATTGGCTCATGGCACTGCGGTTGGAGGCTCGGTGAAAAACCTCTTTACGTGTGTTGGATGAGTGTTTCCCGTGTTGCCAAGAAAACCCAGGCAGTTACGATCTCTTTCTGTGTTATCTGTCCCTTTCCTGAGTTCAAGCTATAAGAAAGTCGTCACTGACTATCGTTGTCTTTTTTTTTTTTAAATCGAAAGTGTAACACTTTACACTTTGTTTTTGTTTTTTTACGGACAAACTTTACAAAGGAATAACAACCAGCTACAGTTAAGTAAGCGACTTCTGCTTTTGCTATGTTTCTTATAACTTGAGTCAATTGTGGACGTTTTGTTCATCCACACACCGCGGGACTCCACACACGCAGCGTCGCGTCCGGGTAACACGCGAACCTTATTCACGCTGTGGAAGCCATTGCGTGTCCAGGGTGTTACATAACCTCCAAGTTACTAACTTTAACAGCTCCGTGCCTTTAATCTGTCGTTTACTAAGGTTTCTCATTCCACTGAGTGCATCACCTGATAGCAAGTCCCGGCCGGTTAACGTTATAACGTGATACGTCGGTTTCTGACGTTATTCGATCCTGCTCATAAGGACTTCATAATGGTGACGGGTGACGTCATTCGCTTCATCTTAACCCGCCCGCGACGCGCGTTTTGTGCCCGTCAAGTTCAGGTAGTCGCTGCGTGTGTTTTGCCTTCGGTTGGCGCGCCCATCCTCTGCAGGCCACCCGCGCCTCTGGCACCTCGCCCTGGAACTGGACTCGTCCATTATTTTGAACATGATCCATTCCCATTTTGACAGAAACGTTAAGTTTGAAGTGCATGTCCAAAGTTTTTGTTTTTGTTTTTCTTCCTTCTGCCCTGCAGTCGTGGAGTCCTGGTGATGTATTCGTGTCAGAGAGGCTTTAACGCTATTGGCCGTGATCGATGTTCTTAAGGTCAAAGGGTTACTGTCATAAATGACTGTATGACTCTGCTCAGCAGCAAAGAATGACGTGATACTAAGTTTGTTGTCACCTGTGTTCGCAGGTGGCCATATACTGCTTACGGGCATTGGTTTTCATTCCTTTGTTTGTTCAAGGATGTATTTCCCCGGAATATGGGTGTCACGAGAAGTGAAAAATCACGTCACAATTGTGATTTACAGGTATTGCCTGTTGGAAAATGGACACAAATATAAAAATTCAGAGAAAGATGTTATAGATGAGGTGTTACGGCGAAAGCCTTGGTTTAACATTTGGGTCAATATTTGGGTTCGAATTGCATATTCCAAAGGGCTATTATTCATCACCATTAAGACTGTAACAGCCTTTTTGTTCTTTGTTATGTGATATATTTTGCATTGACGTCGTTCCAAACATTGTGTCTGAAATAATTCTTTATAATAAGAAAAATATCTTCTAGGATAATCCTTCAGAGATCTCACTACCGCATTTCAGGGCAGTCCAGACACTTTATTTAGAAGGAGATTTTATTGGACACCGTAGCCTGAGATGCTGCCTGTGATTTCCACCCAAATTGGCAAAGAATAGAAAGCAGGAAATTCTAACACAGCTGCTGAAAAATGAAACTGATCCTCTCACATTAGTGAATAAAGGGACTCAGCCGCCCTTGTGTCAGACACGTGTCAGACAAATATAGTTTATATATACTCTGTCATACTTGATGGATTATTTTGTTTTTTCCCTCGCATGCTTAAAAAATAAACATACACATGGGACGTGGAGAATAACTGAATTCTCGTGGATCTCTTGGGCCACCGACAGTTTAGGTGAAACCTAGTGCCTGTGTTTTAGTTTTGGGTTGCTCTCAATCAAATAATATATTGGTTCGCTGAACCTCACACTAACCACTTCATCAGTTAAACCTGTGTAACAACATATTTTTAGTCTCTTCCTGCTTAAAATACCTTTTCTCAGTAGACATTTTGAGCCTCACACCTACATGGCGTGAGGCCATCACTAATATTTGCTTTTTATGCCTAAAAATGTACCATCATCTCTTCTGTTGTGTCCAAAGAAAACAACATGTTTCTATTGCTTATAATGTTGGTTGTTATTGGCACCGTGTTTGAAGCAACCTCGAGTGTATGATAGTCGTTGAGACGTGACTCAGTAGTGCTTTTGTATTGATTTGTACATTACGTAAAGGACTCTCTATAAATGGAAAAACAATAAGCCTGCAGCCTGGGGACATCAGATGGAATCGAGCCTCTCTGGCTCACTTACAGTACATCTGTTGATTGGTGTGCATCGTGCCCGCAAAATTAATTTAATAAAATAAAAATAAAATAATATTTGTGAGGCCAAATTGAGGACAGATGTGGAATTGCAAACATAGGCACTTTAACAGCACTATCCTTCCGGCGGCGGCAGCAGCGATATCTTCAAACCTGTAAACTGAAAGCACAATCTACTTTCATAACGAGAACGTGTCTTAGTCATCGCTAAGAAACTTTTTTTTGTTTTTTTTTCTACCTCAATTCTACCAAGTAAAGTACAATGTCACAGGGGGACCAATACGGTTTAAGGGTTTTGCAAAAGGCCTCAGTTGGACCTTTCAATGCGTGCGTGGACGCTGGAGGAGACGACTCACTGATTGTCTTCCTGTTGTTCGGTTATCGCTTGTGTGCCGTCAGCCGCACCGACGATGTGCACCTGATGGACAATGATTGTCTCCGTGTGGGCGCCGTGAGCTGCGTGAGGATTAATGAGCGCGTTTCTATTGTCTCCGATCCGTACCGTTGATTTTCCAGGGCTGAGAAAAGGAAGTCTGTCTCCCAGGGACACTGGGGCAAAGGTCGTTCAGTCCCAGCCACCGATGGGAGAGCACAGATGTTCATGTTGGCTGATATTTGTCGGTGGAGACGCACCGTTTCCCTGAACAGGAAGTGGCAGTTCGCTATAGAGGGCCTTGTCGTTCTCAGAGGAAACCAGACGTCGTAGTCATTTCTCAGTGGTCAGTGTGGAAAATAACTGATACGACATGTGCCGCTTTGTATACATTTAAAAACCAAAAATGGACACGGACATTGTTCGATCTGCGTTGGTGACCGCCTTCTCTTTTCTCTGGTGTGCAGGCGGCAGGAGGTGTACGTTCAGGATGGCCCAGTGGAACCAGTTACAGCAGCTGGAGACCAGGTATCTGGAGCAGCTCTACCACCTGTACAGCGACAGCTTCCCCATGGAGCTACGGCAGTTCCTCGCCCCCTGGATCGAGAGTCAGGACTGGTGAGACGTCATTGGACTGCTGGCCGCTGTTATGAATGCACAGTTTGTTTCTTATGACGGCCAGAAAAGCGTTCTTGTTTTAGCGTTCTGTGTTGCGGTCGTCCTCCTCCTGCATCTCACGCGCGTTATGTGCCCCAGAGCACGCAAGCAACTCGGAGGGATTGAGCTTTTTCTCTTCTCGTAATAAACCGTAGCACAGAAGAGGCCTTTCTCTGTCTCTTAATTATCATCGTAAAAAAGAAATATCTGCCCTTCTGAGTCCCCCCAGTGTGATACAGGATATTTTGAGGACGTCCAAAAAACGCATTTGTGAAGGTGACGTGAGCTCTAGGGTTCCTTATTATCCTGATTGTCCCACCCTCTCCTTTTATAAGGGCGTACGCTGCCAACAAGGAGTCGCACGCCACGCTGGTGTTCCACAACCTCCTGGGAGAGATAGACCAGCAGTACAGCCGCTTCCTGCAGGAGAACAACGTGCTCTACCAGCACAACCTGCGGCGGATCAAGCAGCATCTGCAAAGCAAGTACCTGGAGAAGCCCATGGATATCGCCCGCATCGTGGCCCGATGTCTGTGGGAGGAGCAGAGACTGCTGCAGACCGCCACCACCGCTGTACAGGTAGTGAATATGAATACATGCAAGCCAGCAGTCGTACAGCATCAAAGCGCCTCAGTAGCGGGGTGCAGCGGTGAGAAGTGTTGGTTTTATTCTCGTGCAGGATGGTCAGGCAGCACATCCCACCGGGACGGTAGTGACAGAGAAGCAGCAGATCCTGGAGCACAACCTCCAAGACATCAGGAAGCGGGTGCAGGTCAGTTCCCCGTATAAGTGCTTGAAACAGAAGTACGAGGAATCCTCAACACTGTTCAACATGACAGAATGAGCCTGTGTGCTCTTATAGACGCATAATGCCTCGTGTGTTTTTCTTCAGGATATGGAACAGAAGATGAAAATGCTTGAGAACTTGCAGGATGACTTTGACTTCAATTACAAGACGTTGAAAAGCCAAGGAGGTAAATTCTAATTGATATTTATTTGTCTCAGCTTTAGCAGTGACATTGATCAGGAAGCAGTCTCGGATGAGTTTTAAAGGTCTGACCCTCTTACGGTAAAGATTTAATGAATTCAATATGTTCCCTCCCTCTGTGCAGACTTGCCCCAGGACTTAAATGGCAACAGCCAAGCGGCCGCCACCAGACAGAAGATGGCTCAGCTCGAGCAGATGCTGAGCGCCCTGGACCAGCTGAGGAGGGTGGGTGCACATGCCTCACCTGATTGGGAAACACCTCTGGTTTGACGGTGGTGTGATTCAGGGTCACACCCAGCTCGAGGCTGCCAGGTAGCACAAATGGCAGAAGACGCTTATCGCAGAGGAGTTAATCTGCCACCTTGAAGCCGGACGTCGTCTGTGCAGCATTTTACATTATTGGTCAACAGCTTAGACTGGATTTGAATCATGAGGCCAAACTGAAGGAGCGGGCTAAGTGTGACTCTGAGAATCTCTTAAGAGAGGAGCTGGATTGTCTTTGACTCACTGCACTCAGAAGTAAAGCCACCTGTCACATTGAATATGTCCTATTTGTTAATAATCCCGTAAGTGGATTTATACTGTACTTGTTTTTTTGTTTGTAGCAAATTGTGACGGAGATGGGCGGCTTGTTGACCGCCATGGATTACGTACAGAAGAACCTGACCGACGAGGAGCTAGCCGACTGGAAGAGGAGGCAGCAGATCGCCTGTATCGGAGGTCCACCCAACATCTGCCTGGACCGCCTCGAGACATGGTAACCGTAATGTCAAGTCCGGTTGACAACCGGAGGCGTGTGTCATCGGCTGGTCTTAACTTGAACCGGGTCCGACGTCCTCAACAGGATCACGTCCCTGGCCGAGTCCCAGCTGCAGATCCGCCAGCAGATCAAGAAGCTGGAGGAACTTCAGCAGAAGGTGTCTTACAAAGGCGACCCCATCATCCAGCACCGGCCCGCCCTGGAGGAGAAGATAGTGGACCTGTTCAGAAACCTGATGAAGAGGTACTGCATGCCACGAATGTTCACCTGAGAGAACCATCCGTGGCCCTTGAGTCTTCGTTTAACAAGTGTGACGACATCTAGTTCTCGCTAGGAAGAGAATGAGCCGCGGATCATTAGGAAAGGAAGCGTGAACCTTCGGTTGTCCTCGCCTAAAAAGGCGACGCGACGGTTTGCTGGACTCTTCTCTGAAACGTGATCCTCTCTGTCTTCCAGTTCCTTTGTGGTTGAAAGACAGCCTTGTATGCCCATGCATCCGGACAGACCTCTGGTCATTAAAACAGGAGTGCAGTTCACAAATAAAGTCAGGTGAGATGAATGCTTGAGGACACAACATCCCCACCTGGATGAATTGGATGTATCCCATGTGACTGAGAGTGTGACACTCCCCTCTTCTTTTCCCAGGTTACTGGTTAAGTTTCCTGAACTCAATTACCAGCTGAAAATTAAAGTTTGCATTGACAAGTGAGTTTTCTTTATTTTTAGTGGTAGAATTGTTTACATTCAGTCACTCGGACACAGATTTGCCTGAATCCTTTTAGAGATGCTGTTTAACTGTGTCTTTTTTTTTTAAGGGAATCGGGAGACGTGGCTGCAATTCGAGGGTACGACTTATAAGGCTCTTTCCGCGCATGAGCATTTTCTGCATTTGTTATTGTAAAATAAGAGTCCCTCTTCGTGCCGTTCCTACATTTTCTTAGGTCACGGAAGTTCAACATCCTCGGTACCAACACAAAAGTAATGAACATGGAAGAATCCAACAATGGCAGCCTGTCAGCAGAGTTTAAACACTTGGTGAGTGAAAGCCTGCTGCTTGACGGTGACGTTATCTGATGAAAGCCTCCAGTGGAGCACTGACTTCCTGTCTGTTACAGACCCTGAGAGAACAGAGGTGTGGAAATGGTGGCCGGACCAACAGCGACGTAAGTACTACTTGGTAAGAAAGGGTCAGTTAAAGTGGCAATCCTCAAGAGTCCGTCTGGCGGATTTCGAGACGCCATATTTACAACAAATGGGGTTTGATGTTAAAGGTCCCAGAATGTGGGGGGCAGCAAAACAAACATTGTCACTTAAATAACAAACTCAGGCAATAATATACGTTATTTCTTCCTGCTGGAGGACCGAATTGAAGCAGCACATGGCATGAGTCTGCTTACGGCCAAAGTCACATCTATTTGAATGGATTTCTTTGAGATTGCCACTTCAGTGTGTTCCTGACCTTTGATCCACATGAACAGTAATGGTTTGAATCATCTGTTTTGTCTAGGCCTCTCTGATTGTCACAGAGGAGCTCCATCTCATCACCTTTGAGACAGAAGTCTATCATCAAGGCCTGAAGATCGATCTGGAGGTCGGTATCAGCGTCAGTCAGTGTCTCTGTGAACACTAATGACCTTTCCAGATTATCAGTTAAACTTTCATCCTACACTCAAAGTCAAAAGAGCCTAACGTAAGGATAAGTACAAAGGAAGCCTCCCGTCGCATGAGTCATTTACAAAAAACGTCGCCGGCTCGGCTTCTAAATGAGCTGTTACTTGAAGTCAAACCTCCTCCATCAGCCCACGTGTGATCGGGTGAGAAAGGGGTTTTGTTCAATAATACAGACCCAGACGCCATCGCCTATTGGCTCGCTCCATCGCGCCCCCACGCGTAAGAGCGGAACAATTAAGCAGACGTCCTTTTACAAGACAATGTGCCGAAACAGAGGCAGGAGCATTTTCACATCCAAGTGCCAGATGTCAGCAAGGAAAACCCACAACAACTGTACATTAAAAACTAATGTGTAATGTTTGTGCTGATCCGCAGACTCATTCCCTACCAGTGGTTGTCATCTCCAACATCTGCCAGATGCCCAACGCCTGGGCTTCCATCCTGTGGTACAACATGCTCACTAACCACCCAAAGGTGAGACAGCACCCTCTGGTGGAGAGAAGCTGAACTCCGCTGGGTTGTTTTTTTACATCACAGTTGCTTTATCTGGTCGCCGTGTCTCTGCACAGAATGTAAACTTCTTCACCAAGCCTCCGGTGGGGACGTGGGACCAGGTGGCCGAGGTCTTGAGCTGGCAGTTCTCCTCCACCACCAAGCGGGGGCTCACCATCGAACAGCTCACCACACTGGCTGAGAAGTTGCTCGGTGAGGGGTCGTGTTTTTAAAAAAAAGATTTCTCACAAAGGGACCACGCGATCCACCACCGTGCCATCAACGCATGCGTGATGTCGTTGTGTTATTCTCCCTCCAGGGCCGTGTGTCAACTACTCAGGCTGTCAGATCACTTGGGCCAAGTTCTGTAAGGTACGGACGGACCTTTAAAAAAAAAAAGAAACAACAGCTCATGGTTCTATCTGCCATTAAATTTTGACTTATTTTTCTTTCCAGGAGAACATGGCCGGCAAGGGCTTTTCCTTTTGGGTGTGGCTGGACAACATAATTGACCTGGTGAAGAAGTATATCCTGGCCCTGTGGAACGAAGGGTGAGAGGTCGTCCTTTGTGCACACGTCTTCGGGGCTGCCTGGTCCATATTACGCATATTGTTGCATCAGTTTTAAAATAGCCTCACTGTTTGTTAAATTTCACAAACTGAATTGCGTGACTTCCTATTGCTGTTTTGCAGGTATATCATGGGCTTCATCAGCAAAGAGAGGGAGAGGGCCATTCTGAGTCCGAAACCTCCCGGAACCTTCCTGCTGCGCTTCAGTGAGAGCAGCAAGGAGGGCGGCATTACCTTTACATGGGTGGAGAAAGACATAAGTGGTGAGGTTCTATTTTTCTTCTCAGGAATTGCTCTTATTTGCCTGTTTTCCGATCTGAGCGACCTCGTGTGTTTCTAGGAAAGACGCAGATGCAGTCAGTGGAGCCCTACACCAAGCAGCAGCTCAACAACATGTCCTTTGCCGACATCATCATGGGCTACAAGATCATGGACGCCACCAACATTCTGGTGTCGCCTCTCGTGTACCTCTACCCCGACATTCCCAAAGACGAAGCTTTCGGGAAGTACTGCAGGCCGGAAACAGCTCCGGAGCCGGAGATGGGAGGAGACCCTTCGAGTAGTAAGTCACTGCCCCGTTCTCTCGGCTTCTTTTGGAGGAATACTGTACTACGCGCAGAACAACCTTGTGTGTGTCATTTGCTCGCGTTACCATTGCAGAAAATCTGTATCAAAACGTCTGCTTGCGTTACTCATTCAGTAAAATCCGAGCCTCAAACTTTACAAAAACCTACCTACAAGCACATTGTTGAATATACTACCGCAAGTGTTTTAAATTGTTAAGTTTTAGTGAAGAGGATAATAATGTTCAGGAAATAATGAGTGTGCAATTGGATAAATGAGGTTTTGGATTACACTACACAAAAGGGTTTTTTTGCCTTTAAAATACAGACGGAGCAAATATTTAGAAGAAAAAGAAAGTAAAGAGTAACAAAAAAAGAGCTCGGGATTGCTCTGTCCTCTCAAAAACAGGATAAATCTTAAGTATTTATGGAAGTATTCAAGTGTTCTTATCTTGTGTAAACGCTGCGGTGTAAACTTCATCCATTTCTCCCGCTTGTCGCTGCATTGCAGCTACTGTTTTGCTACAGCGTGTTCAGCATTAATCGTCATGTTGCTGACATCTTCTTTTCCCCACAGGTATTCAGCCGTACTTGAAGACAAAGTTCATCTGCGTCACACCGTAAGTATTTGTTGCTCCGCTCCTTTTTTTTTTAAGTCAATCATCGGTGCCGGCCGGTGACCTCCTCTTAGTCATTGATCATGATCTCAACTTTTTTTTTGAAGAAATGAAAAAACATGTGCATGGGCAGGTTCTAGCAAAAGTTCAACGAAAAGACCAAGAAATCGGTCTTGGTTCCGGCTCTCGGAGCGAGGAGACACTCGACACTGTGTCCTCGTCGGTTACCAGGCCGTGTCCTCGCCGGTTACAAGGCCGTGCCCTCGCCGGGCGCGCCTCATTATGGGATTCATTCACACGCTCAATGCGCAGGACGTGTTTGTCGATCGGATCTTTTGAGATGAGCCGATAGATAAACGAGATGGGGGTGGGGGGGTCGGCTGCGGGTGGGTGTGAGGAGTGTGCTGTGGCTACCGGGGGGCAGGGGGGGGTTTGTGAGGTCTGCTCAGTGAGATCCTGACCTGTCTCCTTAGGTGTCCCTCCGTGTTCATGGACTTGCCGGACAGTGATCTGCTCGGCGGCGTATTCCCAGGGTATGCACTCGGGGGTGTGGAGGGAGGGGTGGGGGCGGGGGCGCATGTAGGGAGGGCTTTGTGTGTGTCACTCTTGTGTTCTGTGTGTGATGGGTGGGTCTCAGGAACATAACCCCTGTTCATTGTTTTCCAACTCACCCCCCCCACCTGACTCGCGTCCTCACACACACACGCATCTCCATTGGTCAACTTCCCATTCCTCCCAGGGTGCACTCTGTCTCCCGTTTGTGTCACGATTCATTCGACCGAATCCGTCGCTGTAACTTTCAGCAGCCCTGTGCACCTTGAGGTAACTCGATGAAACGAGATTTACTCACAGAATGTGACAAAAGACGTGATCACGTAAGTGAAATTGAATGCATGACGGCGTTGTGAGTGATGGCCCGGTCGATCCGCCAGACAGCTAACCAATAACTGTTATGACATTAACAGTTCAATGCTAAACATGTTTGTGTGCTTTGAAACGGAAGCAGGGAGCGGAATGAGCAAAGCGCTCGACGTCAGGTGTTTCCTCGTCACATACTCTTCACATATTCACATCTCAATATTTCTCAGTGTTTTAACACGGGTCCATTTCTCATCTACTGTACTCTCTTTTGTTCACGTCTTTTGCACAATGACATGAACGCTGGTATTATTTCTCAATGACCTTTTCCCCTCATTAACCACTGTTTTCTGTATTGAGCTGGGGTGGCACCAGTACGTTCTTCTCTGACATCGATCGGACAATCTTTACCATTCAATTCAATCTTTGTATACTTTGTGCAAAATTTAATGGCATTGCCATTCTTGTTCAGGCAATTTGTAGCTGCACTTAATTCCAAAGATTTGATGATGTTGCTGGTATTTAATTTTTTTGATAATATTAATCTTATTGTATTTATTTGTCATATTTACAAAGTGAGGAAGGCAATGCTCAAGTCAACTTGTGTGTAATTAGTAATACATGTATTCGTCTCCTTTCACAGCACAAACTCTGGAAACACCAGCGACCTGTTCCCCATGTCGCCGCGCACCCTCGAGTCCCTGATGCACAACGAAGCCGAGCCTAATCAGGCACACATGGGTGAGTCGGTCACACACAGTAAACACACACACACACACACACACACACACACATGTCGCTCATTGACGTAGAACTGGATTCCTAACTGGCGTTAAAAGGCTGCACTTGGATTGTTTCCACAGACTCCCTCACACTGGACATGGATGTAGCATCGCCCATGTGAAGAGATGACGTTGCGTTTCTTTATTTCCTTCAAGGGGATTCGACAGTGTGCCGTGATAGAGGATATTATGATGATTTTTTAATTTTCTCCCTCTGTCTCACGTAATCTGCCTGTACAGATCCTGTGTAAAAAAAAAAAAAGACTTCATTTCACTCAAACGTTCACCGCTGATCCGTTGTATTTTAAGCAGCAACCTGCTCCCTGTCAGTACTTCCACATCTGCACATATGTCTCTGGTATCTTCTTAATTATCGGGAATTATATTTTTGAAAACATTGTATTGACTTTTTAAAAATGTTCATGAATTCATCTGGGTTTTTTTCCTTTGAAATATAAATGTAACAAGAATAATTATTGTATAAACTATGGCGCTTTGTACTTTTTTTTATGCATTTAATTGTCTGTTTTAAGTCTGTCTGTCAGTCTTTTTTTTCCATTACTGACCTCAGTGAAATGCTTTGTCGCAGGTTTCTCACCCTGGTTTCATTTGAAAATCATTCGAGCCATTTGGAGTGTTAAAAACCGGTAGTGAAAAGAAAAGGAATTTGAGACAGTTTGTGGTTATTCTTCACGTACGATTATTCCCCCGTTATACTGTGATACAACCTGTAACAGTGGTGGTCAGACAGTGACTTTATCGCTAACACTTAAACACCGTCATTTGTGATTATGTGAATTGCACTCGCGTTTGAAATAAGCAATTTCAATATGTTTTTCTGTGCATGAATTGACCTCACATGACGCGTATATCATGTTGAACATTTTCTTTTAAAAAAAAAAACAGTTTATTTTTGACCACTTATTTTTTCTGTAAAATACGCTGTAACTTTTGGTTATTTGGCAATAAAAAAAAAAAAGTTAGTCCGGAGAAGAGGTTGAGTCATATGTTGGTGTAATTAATGTCATGAAGTGATTTCATCCATCAAAAGGAATAAACATGAATAACTTATTAAAGCAGCAGTCTTGGCTACATTACATGTCATTTAGCTAACACTTTTATCCAAAGCGACTTACAATAAGTGCATTTCAACCACAAGGATACAGACGCAAAAAAACAAGTGCAGTTTTATCAAATAAGCCAATTTACAACTTGCCATAGATAAGAGCCATTTTAGGTGCTACAATTAGTCTTTTTAGTCAAGGTAGAGTCTGAAAAGGTGGGTCTTTAGTTTGCGGCGGAAGATGTGAAGGCTCACTGCGGTCCTGGTATCTTCAGAGAGCTCGTTCCACCATTTCAGAGCAAGAACAGTAAAGAGTCGTGATCTAGTTGAGTGTTTTGCTCTCAGTGAGGGAGGGACGAGCAGTTTTGTAGATGCAGAGCGGAGAGTGCTGGTCGGGATGTCGGGTTTGACCATGTCCTGGATGTAAGCTGGACCCGATCCATTCACAGCATGGTAGGTGAGCACCAATGTTTTGAACTGGATGCTGGTAACCAGTGAAGAGAGTGGAGGAGTGGAGTAGTGTGGGCGAATTTAGGAGGCTTAAAAAACAGTCAAGACCTGCCAGGAGGGAGTTACAGTAGTCCAGGCGGGAGATGACAAGAGCCTGAATCAGTACCGGCGTCGCCTTCTGAGTGAGAAGGCGACGTATTCTCCTGATGTTGTAGAGCGTGTATCTACAGGATCGTGTTGTTGCAGTAATGTTGGGAGTCAGGGAGAGTTGGCTGTCGATTGTGACGCCGAGGTTTCTGGCAGTCAAAGTGGGCGTTAACACCGAGTTGCCAAAGTTAACCGTCAGGTTCTGTGTAGGAGAATCTTTTCCTAGAAAGAGAAGTAGGTCAGTCTTGTTGGGGGTTGATTTTCAGATGGTGAGCCAACATCCACTGAGAGATATCAGTCAGACAGGCCGAGTGAGGGAAGGAAGAAGAATTAGTTGGGTGTCATCGGCATAGCTGTGGTAGGAGAAGCCATGCGAGCGAATGACAGAGCCGAGAGAGTTGGAGAAAGGAGGAGGGGACCCAGGATGGAACCCTGAGGAACTCCAGTAGTAAGAGGACAAGGTTAAACTGTATGGTTATTCTCCACTGGAATGTGAAGGATGTATTGAGCTTTAACGGGATGAAACAAAGTGAAGCGAGTCGAAGAAGGAAAATCACAAAAGGAATAATTCAACTCAAGCTGCTTATGCATTTGAGTCCTGGTACTGTTCATGCTGGCTCACTGTCAAGCTCTGGGAACACCGTAGAAGGCTTTATTAAGGTTATCAGCAAGTTAAAATGTCTGCTGTGAAAAAGGTTTACCGATGTCATTATTTTATTAAACCTTAATTTAACCAGGAGAGTCCCGTTGATATTAAACATCTATTTTACAATTTTCACGTCGAGGAGAATAATAATATGTTGGTTATTTTCAACAACTTAAACAAATAAACGTTCCAGACGTAACGAGTTGTTGGGGTCACTTCTCGCACAATGGACAGACATTGGTTCAGGGTTCTGCTCAAGAAAGAGGAAGTCTAAAACATGTTTTAAGGGGGTGAAGTTCATTCCTAATGCAAAGTAAGGGCAGATGATGCAATGTACCAAGAACTGGTTGAGAATCAGGAAAGAGCTTATGATTGGAAACGTGGCGAAATGCGGTCATGTTGACGGGGAACCCGGTAATTCACAAAGAGGAAGTGCAAACAATAAAGCGGGAAATAACGCTGCAAGCAAAAAACATTTAATCTGAGGCCCCCGTTGGTCTGGCACCGCAGGACACGTCACAGCCAGAATATTGAGTCCATTTCATGATCGGTCACATTTTTATAATGAAAACTGTGGAAGCAGTGCATGTGGAGCTCCTTTTGTGCCTCAACACATGCCATTTTCTAACTATTTTGTGTACAAATAGCAATCAGCCGCACAGTTGTCAAATCAGACTGCTCTATTTCCAAAACAACCTGAAAATAAATAATAATTGAAACGGGTCAGACGAAATGACAAATGAAAAAAGATAGGGATCTACTTCTGTAACAAGAGACGAGGAACTAGGAAGTGTCATACTTCCGCTTTGATCCCTTTCGTGGAATCAAACAGTGGGTTTCTTCGCATGGTAGATGCTGGGATTTGAATGTTCATGCTTCCTTCCCTGACTGGAAACAACTTCTTTCTTCTTGTGTGTGTGTGTGTGTGTGTGTGTGTGTGTGTGTGTGTGCCTTCTTCGCTACTGATCCAGCTCCAATGAGGCCTTTGGAGATTGGACAGCTGGGACGAGGTGGCAAGACAGACAGACAAGAGTAAAAGAAACTGTTTTTGCACCGCCGGGCCGTCTGGCTCGCTCTACGACGTGCCTTCTCTCTTTCTCCCACGCACTCTCTCTTCTTCACCCTTGATCGTGCCTGTGATCGGAAACAAACCCAGACTGGTTTGAGAGCAGGACGGGGTGGTGCGGCTGTTACTGTCAGCAGCTGCTGACTCAGCTGTCTGCAGGATTGATGAGGCGTCATCGGGGTCTGAGATTGGCTTCTGCGGTTGTAAGTGTGCTTGAGTGTGTGTGTGTGTGTGTGTGTGTGCGCGTGAGCCAGAGCAACTTCTTATTTGATGACGTTTTTTGTATGCTTGTGTGGAAAGGGAGACAGTTTTTTTACATTGGGTGCAATGGGAGGTGTGCGAAAGTTGAAAATGGCAGAACCCAACATGGGAACTAACATGACATTTTCATGATTTTCACAAAACAGAGAGGAAAGCCTCATAAAGGTGGAGGCTGTGGGCTTTGTGCAGCAGTTAACAGTGAGTGGTGATCGTCTTGAGGAATGACTCCAGAGAGCGACCGACTGGATTAGTAGACCTGGGCCTGAAGGGAGTTTTCGGGTTTCTCTTTTGTGCCTGAACAATTTGACTTCCAAGAACAACTCGTGTTCACATGCAGATTAGCTACTTCAGCCAATAGCCCCCTTCTCTTCCTTTTTAATAATAAAGTGCCTTCTGGGGTGCCTTTAACAAAGAACAAATCTGAAATGCAGCTTTCCCATGGCTCCGGGAAGCTTTCTGCCTTTTCATTTATTTCTTTTGCGGCCTTCTCCTCAGACAGCGGGTCCACCACCTCTAGAAAAAACAGTAATACAGTTGGGTACAACTTTGAGGCATACTTGCATTTATATTCATGTGTTGTGTTTTTTATCAAGCAACAAGTAATTAACAAGTTGCACAATTACTTATTAACATTAATCGTGCAGATTAATAATTGCACAAAATATTGTTCCAGTTTTCAGCATCACTACAAACTATTTTGGAAATAGACACACAATGGATCATGTAATGGATGCTTTAAATGAGCATTTAGATGAACACCAATAAATGACACGTTCACACAATGTCTTGTTTGCTTTTTAATTAACATTTTGTTTTTGTGTCATGCAGCAGTATGCATTTTGCACGTTGCTCTCTGATCTTTGTCTCTCTCTGTGGAAACTATAGGGGAAGTTTGTGTGCAACTACAAAAGGTCGAGAAACCAAATAAATGTCCTCCTCTGTCAATGCCCCGATTTTGTGTGATCTTAAAAAAAGAGAACTATATAGTTCAAATGGATTTGAGCCAGGAGGCGTCGCTGTCCTCCACACTGAGGGAAACAGAGTCGCGTGAATGTACAGTGGATCAGACTTGATCGAATCAACCGGGCCGCTCGTTGCTGTGCAGCAGCTCTCAGCTTTGATCGCAGCGAGTCACAGGAAAGTTAGAGCGGGTCTGATGACGCGCAGCCACGACATGTTAGTATCGCTAGTGTTGTTGTTGTTATAGTGAGTTTATTACTTCGTTTATAACAAAGCTCACCATGGGTGTTAGTACTAGGTAACGTCAATTACGGTCGTGTACGACGAAATAGTTTAAAAATAAAAAAATAAAATAAAAGAGTCCATAATAATCAAAACAGTTTTATTACTAACACTCATGCACACTCTGTCGGGTTTAAAATACAATGCGCAAAAAATACAACAAAATACAAAAACAATAATCAGATACATTCGGGAAAATAACACATAATACGTGACGTTTGAGCTGATAACAACAAGCCGCGATGCCCCTCACACACGCTCAAGAACCGCCGGAAGTGGGCGGGTTGACAGAGAGAGAGAGAGAGAGAGATAGAGAGAGGGAGAGAGAGAGAGAGAGAGAGAGAGAGAGAGAGAGAGAGAGAGAGAGAGAGAGAGGTGTCAGGCGAACTGTGGGAAACTAACGCGACCCGGCTGACGGACCGAGAGCTGCCCGCTGAAGGTTGTTGTCCACGTCTCCTCGCCCGGTGGGACAACAAGGACAGCGAGTGTCCCGTCGCTCTATCGCGGAGAGGTGAGTTGGTCACCGCCGTGTCTTTTGTTTTTTTTAAGCGTGTCTCGAACGTCCCCGTCCCGTCGACCGAGACAATACTGTGACAGCGCGTCTATGTAAACAAAGCGTGCAACCACTTCGACTGGACTTCTTCTTCTTCGTCTTCTTCTTCTTCTTCTTCTTCTTCTTCGTGGTTTGGATCAACAGGCACGTCCCCGCCGTGGGCTCCACAGCGAGTTTTAAGCGCAGCTCGTGGCCGTGTGAGCGGTGTTTTAAACGGCACCACACGGACCGACTCGCTGACACTGTGGTAGATTTGTTTGTTAAAAAAAAAACAACAACCGAAAACTGAAGTTGTTTGTATTTCTTTATCAGGAGGAGAGAATCCAACGTTAAGGCGTTAAATCTCCTGCGGCCGAGGTTCGCCGCAGAGTCGCGTTCCCGTGCGGGTGATCTGCGCCCTCGGGTGCGACGTCTTAATGGAAACGCATTTGCTTCTGGGACCAAACGGCAGCGCGTTAAACCCGTTTGAAACGGCAAAAATAACACAACTTTTTGTTTATAGGGTTTAGGAAGCACAACTGGCGTAATAATTATAGCAAAACACACACGCACCCCGCGTTGTGGCTTTTGAATATGTGCGGAATTTAAACCCAAACGCAGCAAAAAAGTACTTGAGACGCTTCGGCCACTTGCTGGTTGGTTCGGTTGAAGGGAACGCGAACGCTGCTTGAGCCACCACCCAGTTCCCGTCCCCGTCCCCACGTGCCCTTCCGCGCACTCTAAAAGTGTTTTAGTGATCCGAAAAAGAAAATCAAATTGTGTAATTCACATATTTGTGTTTCGTTCTGGTGGAAATGGTTTTATCTTGATGACGTGGAAATTGGACCCTAAAGATTTTTATTTATTCAATGCTTCAGGAGTTTTACAAGCCGACGGAGAGATTTGGTTTCGTCACGTTTTAATTGACTTGACCTCATGTTTCAGGCAGAGAAGTCGGGTTGGCTTAGTCCAGGAGACTAGTCGAGGACACTTGTCCTGTCTGATGTCTTCGTGCAGACTATTGACTGACGTCACAAACTAGAAGCAAACCTCGAGGGTCAACACTGCATGCATACAAGCTGCGGTCTGGTAATATGTGAGCTTTCCAAAAAAAGAAAGATGGCTATACACAGTACAAGTGCCACACACACACACACACACACACACACACACACACACACACACACACAGTCTTTGTACTGTTCTGTCTAGAATGACTCAAATAAAGAAGGTCTTGAGAAGAATAAATACCCTTTTCTGGAGCGCACTGCTATAAATACCAGCTGTTTTCATGTGTGTGCTGTGAGGAAAGTTGAAACCTCAACGTAAAAGGAGGAGAGTGTGAACAGAGCAGGAGTAATCGTGATGGGGTCTGCGCCAAACCCCCTCCGCCCCCAACTGAGCGATGCCGTCAAACAGACGACGCGTTGTTGCTTTTCATCGGCTTGCTGCTGACATGTGGTTTGAAGAAGAAAAAAAAAAACGTGAAGTGATGGTTCATGAGGGTTAACCCACAGCAAACTGTTAAACACAGCTCCTTAATAAAAAAAAAAAAAACAATGGCGCTTGTGCACGCTCGACCTGCCAGCCTGGCCTCTGCCATCCATTCATCCCGTTATCATTAAGCTGTTTGCTGGGTGCGGAGTTGCACCGATGTGACTTCTTTTCCTTTTGGACAAACCACCCTCATTGACTCGGCCCCCTGCTGCTCCTAATGGAGAATTATGTGAGTGATAATGTCCTCTGGCCGCTGTGATGATGTCCCCCTTTGAGGTTGCTGTGCAAAGACTTTGGATGAGCACAGCAACGGGGATTGGATGTTTGCCGTCTGTGTTGTTTAGCTGTGCTGAAATTAGTCAATTAAATGACGATCTTCATTTTGTGATTTCAAAATTGCTCCATTTCTAATCAGTTGTGTGTCTTTCAGAGGTTGATTATCCCCTTTATTTGGCGTAAAGCAATTTCAACTGGAGCTGAACAGTTTTGGGCGGAAACAAATGTAATTGATTAATCGTTGAACCGTGATACCGGTTGCGGTGCTGGATGGAATGTTAATGGTTCGACACAATTCTCATTTTTATTCATCAAACGTATTCAAATAATCTGTACCAAACAAATACGCGTCACCAAGTCTGTAGGATATGATGTGCAGGCCAGGTCGCTGTGCAGCAATATTTCATGTAAAATTGTATTTTCACATCGCCTTTAACCAGCGTGCTGACTGTTTGTAGAGCACACAGGGCTGTGTTGCCACCTTGGGAAAAAAAACAAAAAACGTAACGGTTAATTGCTCATCCCTAATTTGGAAAGCCGGTCCTCACTCCACCTTCTTTCTCAATACCTCCTCTCTCGCTATAAAACCTTCCAGTCCAACCGTGATCTGCAGAAATCCAAAAGTGAATGTCAGCCTTTTTTTCGCTCCCTCTGTCGCCGTGGTGCTCGGGCGACAGAGGAAGCGAGGCCGGGGTTTTTCCAGGTTAATCGGGGGGTGTTTTGGGAACACGGCATGCTGGTCGGACATAAATCAGTTGGCACGCTGTGTCCCTGAGAGACCCAGATGCTGGGGGAGCAGCAGCAGGAGAAGGAGGATGAGACAGAGGGGACCGGGGGGGCGGGGGGAGGAGGGGGTTTGTAATTGTGAAGCACTAGAGACGTGACATCAGCATGGACATCATGAGTAGCTGGAAGTGAGCCGATTAGAGCAGCGGTTTGGATCTGACTGAGCCACGAGTCATAGGTGTCAGACTCACTTAGGCCCTAGCGAGTGTCCTTAGCATGAAGCCTTTCCTCGGTCTGAGAGGAGGAGGAGGAGGACAGCCGAAAGACAACGGGAAGAACCATTTGCTTGGGAACCGCGCACCCTGACCCTCCTCCCCCCTTTCCGTCGGGCTAGCGCTAATCCGCATGTCACGTGACCTGCGAGCTCTCAGCCCGGTCCAGGCCAAGCAGCGCTCTGCTCCATCTGTCAAATAGCGTGGCGGATTGTCGGCATCCATGGCGGGCAGTGGGGGGGGGCAGGCGGGCGGGCCCGTCCCATGACTGCTACTCGCTGTCATGTGTCAATTTCCATCTTCTCGATACCTCTGCAGGGTTTCTCCTGTCTATCGCTCTCTTTGTCCGTCTTTCTTTTTTTCTGTGCCCTCGGTGAGGAGGAGGAGGACAGTGAATCCTTCCAGACACTGAGAACCACCACAACACCCATTATCAAGTAACGCAACAAGAAAAGCTCATAAAGGAAGTCACACATTTAGCCTTGAATTGCCAAAGACATTGTGTAAGTCATAAGTCCGGGCCACCCGAGAGCCCCAAGCCCTAAACACACAGCAGAAGAAAAATAGCTGTGGCTTTCTGTCCCCGTGATAACGCCGTGTGTACGCTCATCCGGGTCAAGAAGCTACTTTGCATCAATCTGGTCTCCACACTGCCAACGGGCCATTCAGGCCCTGATCCTGGCACACGTCCTGCCCAGTACCCAAGTGTCGTTGTGTCACGCCTCAGCAGCAGACTCCCGCCGCCCGGTTGGGCAACGATACCCTGAGGTTAGCCGAGAGCCGGCCGGGGACAGCTGCTGGCGAGTTGCCCCCATGTTTTCTTGTGCTTTTTGGATTCCGCCAGAGCAGTTTTGGGAAGAGAAGTGTCTCTGGTTTCGTATGTGCTTGAGTTAAACGGTTCCATTTAATGAGAGCAGGATAAAAAGACTGTTCACTTCAGAGGAGGGCAAAAATACACCAAAAAATTGATTTCGCATTGGTGCTTTTGCAAGATATTTAAACATAGAGATTTTTCATCATGACTGATTTCTGATTTTTGTCACGGTGGTTTTGTAACATTTGGCTGCACAATCTCTTTTATGTTTTAGTACTGCATTTGGGCCCCGTGTCATGCGTTATCTCTCCCATTCATGAATTATATATGAATGAATGGCTTCATCTTTGCCCTTAAGGGAAATTGTATCATGTGAAGCCTTGGATGGGAAAAAGTGGGATAGAAGCCTTGTTTGTTTATTGAGTACGCCCTAAACGGACAGGATTCCACACCATTTTTAATATTTTTATCTTGAGAGTACAATATAATAATTAGTTTTCAGGAGAAAAGAAAAGGTTGTCTCTTAAAAATAATTAAAAGATCAGATTTAGTTGTATTATCTTTTAGATGGACGAAATGTACTCCTGTTAATCACATGACCAAGTCATCACTATCTGTTTGACCATTTAATTTGACATTTGAACGAAGAGGAGGAAATAAGCTTTTGTTTTCTCTCCGTAGAAAAAATCAATTCTAGATAACAAAGCATTTTTTTCTCTGTCAGCTGCATTTCTCAATTGTGATCTTCAGATAAACCATTTAAGCCTCATCCGTTTATGGCTTCTTTACAGTCGTTTCATAGACCGTGGCGTGCAAAAGACGCCTGTAGACACAGGAATATGCCTACTTCTGTTTTAGTTTAGGTTTAGGTTTAGCCAGGTTTTCTTTTTTTAAACTCGGTTTGCACACTGGCCAGTTTAGTTTCTCTTTTCACACCCACTCCATTCACTCAGCAGGTCGCGACCTCGTGTAGTCAGACCTGCTGGCCTACTTCGGAAGCCGGTTCTTTTATCAGCCACCAGGGCGACCGAGGAAGCTCCGTGAAGTGGCGCGGCCATCCGACGGTGTGTGTCACACGTGTGAGGGGCATGCACAGTAACACGGGCCGTATAAAAATAGTGTCTTCCTGCACCGCGCGGTACGCCAACAGCCAGCAGGGAGAACGTCCTCTGGGTGCAGCAAAGGCTCCAGCTTAGTGACAGGAAAAGAGCGGTAACCATAAGCTCTTGAAATGGATTAAGATTGCGATACTGTCAACTCGGCATTTCTCCACGTAACGCCGACGGGAATCTGCTGGACCCTCGGCTGCTATTTTAAGCCAACGTCTATTATGAAGTAACACAATAACTGTAGCAGTGTTGAGATTTGCTTTTTCTATGTTGTTTTTTTGTTGGTGAATTCTCACCGCCGTGTTGGTCCAGCTTATTGTTTCAGCTCATTAGAACCTGGCGGTCGTCTAACTGCCCTCACTGGGGCGTGATGTGTATCCTCCTCCTCCTCATTCGGGTCATGTTCACACCCCGACATTCGTCCTTTTGATGAGGCCAGCCGATCTGGATGGAACCCGAGGCGCCGAGGTAACCGTATCCGCCGCCGCAGGTGTCGAGGAAGCAGACGGGAACGAGCCTGTTAGAGGGCCGGTTGTCCCCATGTAGCTGGACACGTTTAACGCATTATAAATAACGCTGTTCCCTGTGTCGATCATGACGCTTTATGACACTTGGCCTTAAAGTCTTTATGAAAGCCTTTTTATCATGTAGTGATATCATAGATCTTTATGACCATTTATCGGCTCGCAACCGCAAAACAGAAAAAAGTAGATAGTAAGACATTGTAAATATGTTTATAACGCATCACAGGCGTTAATATGGTAGATTGCTGGATCTGCCATAGAGTCTGATAACGCCTTATCAGCCATTAGAGCACCTAATAAGAACAGACCGTTATTTTTTCACATATGCTTTATTGATTTGAATGCGCAATATGACACACAGGAATGAGTATCAGTAAGAAGTATTTTCATTTTTGGTGTATGTGGAAATCCGTTAAAGGTGAAGAAGAAAAGCACATAAAAATAAAGCCAACAAACCAAAATGGATAAATAAATAAAATTGATGGTGGAAATATGAAACTCGATGTTGCTTCCTTGTGGAATGGTCATTCCAATGCTCTGAGTGCGAATTTTCATTTTTCAACACATAAAAACATCACATCTTGAGGCCAAGCCAACTGAGATGGTGATTTGGGGATTTCCAAGCAAGATGAGTGGTAAAGGCAATAAAATAACAAACCGTTCGAAACAGGAAAAGTTATTTTGTTGACAACGAATGGCAACCGCAATATTGGATATTTATAGTTTAATTATTACCCTGTAAAATTCTCACTAGTTGACAAACCTAATTGCAAATGATAGAATTTTTAAGTTCACTTCCAACATGTAATTCAACAGTATTTTCTGAATGGACAGACAATTGACGGCTGTCATAAACACATCAATCATATCAGCTGACTGTAATATCCTCAAATACAACTTGACTCGGTCTGTATTTTGAGGCTGGAGAGCAACATGCTTCACCGTGGCCATTAACAAACTACCAAAGGCCAGATTTACAAACTGCTCCTGGCCAACAGGACTTTTTGTTGTTTTAACACCAGAAAGACCCGATAACGCTCCAAGGTACTGGATGTCTGTTGTGATGGCAACGGCTAGCTCATAGAAAGCAGGGTGATGTTCTACAAATGCAAAACATGCAGCCAGTGAATGACATAATGTCCCCTGATGTTTCACAACGGGCCGCGGAGACGCAGCACATGTGTGCACGCGGGAGGGAAAACATAAAAGATTTAGCTTAATTGTTTGCACTGCGATAAGACCAGACCCTTGTGTGTCTGTGTGGAGCAGGTCTGCACGTCGACCAGATTCGGGTCACGGCTGCTCCCTTGTGTCTGGGGAAAGCGCTCACATCTGTGCAAGATTATTGTTAGGAGGAAAAAAACGTCAATTAATTATTGACGCTTGTATATTTCATTTATATCTGGTTGTATTTTGGATTAAAGTGGGCCGGATTGTAGAAACGGAGCTGATGGATTGAATAAGCGCTCTCCTTCCTGCTCTCTCTATTGTTGCTTCAGGAGTGTCTGACTTTCTCTTTTCTTTTACAAAGGTGGTAAAGGTTGTCCATCCGTCCCCCGCGTGCTGCTGGTGGCACAGGCTCCACATACTGCCAAGTCAGTGTTTGTTTGTATTTGTGGGCTTGTCTTTCCGTATTGATCCTGTGAGCTCATCCGCGCCCTAACGAGGTGCACAACACATATCCGCCAGCCAGCCAGCCCCACACACACACACACACGCACACATGCACACAGAACCAAGCAAAGGCTGACCCTTTGCTTTCCGCAAAAAGAAAAGTATCCGTTTATAATGCGATCAAAGTTTAAGACCTACTCGCCTTTTCTCTTTTTTTTTTCGCCTAACGTGTGTGTCTGAGTGCAAACGTGTCAAAGCGCCGTCTTTCAGCGCGCACAGTCACTCACAAATAGGTCAATAGGTCTTTGATGACGTCAAAGTGTTGATGGAGATGCGCGGCCGTGTGTCGTGTTCGTGACTCACACGCCGCGCGTTGCCACATCTGGCTGGATTACGCTCCCTGAAGTTCTGCTCGCAGAAATATAACAGAAAACAGGGATAAGCTCACGTTGTTCCAGATAAAGGACAGAAACCCGAGGGGACAGCGTCCAGTAATCTTGTTTGTGTCCACTCTCTCAGGTTATTGACTCTTTTTCGTTTTGTGAAATATCTTATTGTCACGACGTGTATTCAATCGCCCCGTGGGAGAAAGAGGATCTGCTTTTATGGACACGGTGACGTGTCGGACTGCTGTGTGTGTGTTGCTTGTTTGGAGTTACGGAGCGTTGTGCGCTCACGATGTGCTTCTTATGCTGCACGCAATAGTGTGTCTGAGGTGTGCGCTTTGCTGTATGTTGTTCAAATACAGTACATGGTTCAGCCAACCTCATTAGTCTCTTGTTCTAAGCTCTATGTTCCCTTCATTTACTTGCGGACATTTTCACGTTCCTTCATCAACTTAACTCAAAAAGCCACTTCGAGGACAAACCATCTTTTGACATGCAAGGCTTCAATTCCCATCCCTGTATGTCTGCACTCAAAACAACCTTTTGTTTCGGGCAAAAGATGATTCAAGACCCTCCTCTCCGTTCCGCTCTTCTTCCTCTTTTCTTGTAAATGTGCCGTGATCTAGGGAATCGTCTCACGCAGGGCGGGACGGGAGTGGGGGCGGGGGGGAGGCTGTGGCACTCTGTGGCACTTCAGTGTGCATGCTCAGCTTATCCGGATTATCCCTGTGCCGCTACGATAATCACCCAGACGCTACCGGGCATGCAGCAACATACGGCTGATGCCTTTGTTTTTAATGTGCTCGAGATGAGAGCCTTGTTATTATTTTTTCCCCCCCGTCTGTCCACGTAGTGTGTGTGTGTGTGTGTGTGTGGGGGGGGGGTTATAATGTGTTATCTGGACTGTGGAGCCATAGCTGTGTTGACCTATGTGATAATAAGTGATGGACCGCTAATTCGGGGCCCCCTGGTTTGGCCCTTTGGCCCGAGACCCTGAGGCCCTCCCTCTGCTCTCTCATTGGTCGGCAGGGCTCGCGGGTCATTCGTTGGCCGGCTCCCAGATACCCCGACGTCAGTTTACGATCACTATTTCAGATAAAGATGCATAAAAGCAAGCTCTGCGGATCGAGACCGTTTTCTTTGAAAACCTCGGCAGTATAAAGTTTATTGCAGCGATCAACTTTCCGTCCAGCTACATGGATGCCACCATTTCAGCTCTAATTGCCTAAAAACAAAGTCAGAATATTAAATAATATATATTATATAATATAAGTGATTGAGTCGAAATATTGATTTCTATAGCAAAAGAAACAATACATTGTTGGGAGTTTCAACAATGGATCACCTCTGTGGGGTAAAGGTGAAGTTAACCTTTACTAAAGGCCTTGAGCTCGCCATGGAGGGAGGGGAGACGTGGTAACTGGAGCAACGGCGCAGAGGAGGGGGCTCCGGTGACTGTGTGTGTGTGTGTGTGTGTGTGTGTGTGTGTGGGGGGGGGGGGGGGGTGGAATATCAAAGGGCGGAGCTCTCAAAAGTCGCTCTCGCACTGGTCTTTACAAGAGCGCCGATGGAGGAAAGACGAAAAAGAGAAGAGGAGGATCGCCCCAATGAAAGGGGAGGGGCCGGGGGGGGTTACATTTAGAGAAGCTGCAGGAGATTCGATTAAAGGCGCTTTATCAGCTGTATTAGAGCGGTGCACGGGCCCACAAAGCTTGAATTACCACACAATGATTCTCAGCTCAGATAGACTTTACTCCACTAAATGTTTAAATAGCAAATTCTTTTTTGCTGCAACATTAATGTCCAGCATGCTAAGCACAGCTCATTTTTTATATATATGTATATAAAGCAACAGAGGAGAACCAAACTAAAACTAGAAATGGGCAATAAGTAGGTGGGTCTGCAGTGCGGCAGGATTACACGATTGATTGAGAAGCAAAATGTGATGAGTTGGCTGGAAGTCGTTCAGATAACAAACGTCGGACAATCTTGCCAAAAAGCCAGCGACGTTGAGGCGAGTCCGTGAGGGAGGAGTAAGTGGCTGTGTAAAGCAAGCGATGCAAGGTGTTTTTTAAGAAATTGTGATCAGGAGGGGTCCTGAAACACACAGCGAACGAATAAATAAATTCCAATCAAATCCTCTTCGATGGTGGTATTGGTTCCATTGTCTAGAGGTACAACTTTGCTTGTTGCTATTAGACCAGTTTGAAGATGTTGAAACAACACACAGAGCCCTCATTGGCCTGACCACCCTCCATACCTCTGCCACACACACACACACATACACGCACATATGCATTTACTCTGTCTCCTTGACCCTCATAGCAAAAGGCTTCTTCAAGTGCAAACGTAGAGGTCACAAAGAGGGAGGGTGTGTCACTGAAGGAGGAAAAGGGTAAGACGACCTTGAGACGATGCCTAACCGAGTTCGGGCACTCGAACACAAATGAATTGTGCGTAACTTTTGAGTAGAATTCTCTGAGTTAACCTCGTTAAAGGGAAGGCCGACTTATCCAATCGCATGTAAAGGTTAAGTCATCAGCGCCGGTAAACTCATTTAGCAGCACACCCTTTCATTCCAGCTGAAGGAACAAGCGTCTATTTGTCCGCCTCTACGCATAGAGAGCCTCTCTCTACGCGTCTCGCTGTCCGCCGCATCTGAGATAACCATCAGGGTGTCGGCCGAGCTCGACAATTCAGCCGCTTGAGCCGCGTCCGTTCGGCCCCCGGGAGCCTCGCGTCTCACAAAGGGGATTCTTGACTAACCTTCACATGCTGCTCACATCAAGTCCATGTATGTATGTACATGCGCTGTTCAACCAAATGCCTGAATTGTATGTTTGTTGTTTATTTAAAATTCTAATATTGGTCTTCTGTACTTTTTAGAAAGCTATGTAATATCTACATGTTTCTGTGAATATGGTAGTCCTGTCTTTACTGTTAGTCGTCTTTCTTCCTAGCTTTTGAAATAAAAAATATATATATAAACATACACTTGCCCAATAAAAGATTTTAAGACAAATACGTTTTCTATAGTGTAACAAACGTGTTTTGAGCATGTATGCAATATAGAATCCCCAATCTCATCCCTGCATGTGCCGGCTTACTTACTCAATCCTGTGCCAGCAATGATTTGAGATTTACTTCGGAGTTTCATTTCCTCCTGATTTCAAACAACAGAAAATAATGAAACCGTAGCAGCTTCTGAAAATCCCCTCTCTTTATTCTGTAAGGGCGGGGGGGGGGGGGGGGCGGGGGGATAAGTAAACAGGCTCATGTGGCGCCTCACCACACAACTCGTCATTGACCGGCTGGGGCATCCCCAGCTCCCGGCCCCCAGTTAGACCTCAGGGGCCCCAACTCTGTTTATTCACTTGTCAGATGGCATTTAACGCACTGTTTGGGAAGACAACAATGCCAGTAATAGCAGAGAGGAAGGAGGGGGGGGGGACTGACAGGGAGGTCTGATGATGAAGAAGATAAACGAATCTGTATGATTCTGCTGTGATTCGGCCGACCAGAATACTGACATCGGACCTGCGCTTTTTTTCTTCAGAGAAAGGACAAACGTATCGGTGACCTTGCGGTTAGACAAACAGTAGCTCGCTCTCGTTCCTCTTCAGACGCACGTCAAATGTGTTTTTCTTTTTTTCCTGGTCATTGAGTGATTGACCAGAAAAGGACACTTCCAGCAGGTGACGGTCCAGACAAACGGTTCTAAAGGAATGTGACGCCACATCGCTTCAGATGAAAAAACCTTCAGCTTTAGAATTTATTACAACTAATTGAGTAAAAATATGGCTTTATTAATACATCTGCTGTGGTTCAAAGCTAGTTTTCACAACGATTGTGGTTGTTTAACAGTTTACATTTCGTGCTCCGGCATATAATAAATTCATATACAGACTATTTACGATCAGATGAATAAGGCGGTAACTCTGGGCGTTCTATCGCTAAAATAAGTAGTTTGTCTAACCCCGGTTTTCGCATGCCTTAGAGATCCCGTAGAGATGACACAGCAGGGGTTTAAAACCGGCGTGCTGCCAAAGGTCGGTGGGAGCAGACGACGGGGTCGACTTCGGGGGAGAAAGGGTGCAACATTTAACCCCCGTGCCCTCAGCGGGCACACATCTCATTCGACTGGATCTCATCTGATTATTATTAAATTATTAAAGAGCGCTTTTCTTCCTCGCCCTCAGGCCTCTTCGGACAGTGGAGCGTCTTTGTTTGGTGGCCCGATGTTTTTATTTATTTCTGTTATTGCTGGAGACGTTTGGCGGAACCGCTGGTGTCTTGTTTCCCCCCCCCGGTTTGCATGTTGGACACAAGGAGGAATGTGTTGGCAGATTGACGACGTGCCTCGTGTCTGGCCGAGCCGCACAGAAGCCACTGTGTTAATGAGTAATGTCCCTCTTTAAAGAGGATTGTGGCAGTTTTTATGCAACAAAGACCTGCATAGCTCGACGACGCCTGCTTTATAACACTTGGTAGTTCTTGATTCCTGATTCCCACACTGGAAAGGTTGAGCTTCGGGCCGTGTCCACATTTAATGATATTGTTAAAAAATAAGTAGTAAAAAGCTGCGCTCGGCGACG